TAGAATAATCATTGCAAAACTCTTTGTTTCTCTCTCTCTCTCTCTCTCTCTCTCTCTCTCTCTCGCTTAATTTTTTTTCTTTTTTCGCTTAGAAAGTTTTCAATATGACAAATATGGTCCATCGAATAGGTATGTATAAGTTATATAGTCATAAAACTCGACGGCGCCAAAAGCCTGGCCTCGTGACTGTATTTGAACACTTGTTGAAGAATGTAACGATATAAAAATAGAGAGCAAATGTAATGCTGGACCGCGTATCTTTGCGCGTGCGATATAAGTTCGCGTAAACGTACGTACGCTTACGCGGCTCAATATGGTTGCATCGTAAGTGTCTCCAATGAAGATCTAATGAAATGGATAACGATTAGATACGAAAGTTAGCGATTCATACGAGCAGTCTCTCGTTTTTATTTGTGCCCTTCCGACCAGCTCGGATTTCTTGTTAACGATATCGATCTTGTTAATGTACCTTTCATTTCTATTATAGTAATAGTAGTAGTAGTATAGTAGAACGCGAATGAAATTTTGTATAACGGTATAAAAAAGAGACGGTGTAAAAAAATCAGTAGGTACGTATTCAGAGGTACGCTACCTAGATAGAAATAGAATATTGGAATGGTACGTTAGTAAGAAAAAGAAGCTCCGTTTTTATATAAGTAAGTTATAGACGCAAGCAGCCAGTCAGGAAACCAAGCCTTCGCGTCACTTTAACGCGGATTCATCCAAAGGGATGAGCACCATTTCACAATGCGATCATGTTGCTAGATGCAAGCATATTAACGCTAAACTCTTTAATTTTCTTTGCAATAATAATATGCTCGCTCGTTTATTTTAGAATACCCTTTCACCACCTCCCCTCTCCCCTGTATGGGTATTTATCTCATTTTCTATTAATCTCTATGTCTTTTCCCTCTTGATATATAGAAGATCTTTCATATATAGAAGAAGGCGATAGAATAGCGACGCAGTACGTGTTTCTTACTCGTCTCGAAACTAATACGTAAGTAAGTACGATAATTAATTAATCAATTAAGTAAGTAAGTAAGTAAGTAAGTATAGATACTTCCTTCGTTGTGAATACGCAGCGATCGACGATATTTCTTTGTACGATAAAGCTTTATTATAGTTAATACGTTATATAGTATTACGAGCAGTTCCCTTCTTTCTTCCGTTCTATTCTATTTTCTATTTTTCTAATTCCGTTTCGGAACTCGTCCCGGAAACACCCATTTGAATCGATTCTTCTCGTCGTATCTCGAGAAGCCAGAGAGTCCTCAACTCGATTCGTTTGGTAAAAAGGAATGACTCTAATGCGAACAGAACGAATATGCGAAACGCGAATACGGAATAAGAAGGATTTGTTTGAAACGTAAAAATACGTATAGAGGAAAAAACGAATGAATCAATGAAAAATACGAGATAGAGTACGAGCCCCGTAGACCGATCCCTCGTTAAAATTCAAGACCAACGGATTATTTTTACGAACGATACGACGACTCTCGAAGGAATCTTCTCCTTTATTTACTCTTCTAATCCCAATTTATGACGATTCGTAGATCGAGATCAATGTTTTCTTCGTTTAAAGTTATGTTAATTCGAAGATAGTAATAAGAAAGAGGAGAAATTGTTTTTTTCTTCTTTTTCTTTCTTTTCTTCCGCAGACGCGAGCGCTCGTATCGACGGTTAAGCGATTTTCAACGGTCGGTCGGTCGGTCGGTCGGTCGGTCGGTCGGTCGGTCGGTCGGTCGGTCGATCGATCGATCGATCGATCTACGAGCCACTAGCCATATCCTAAATCCCGTCGAGCGACGCGTATCGGCCCTCCTTAAGTTTTAATCAATATATACGAAGGTATTAGATATAACAACAGTCAAGTTATATATAAAATTACGGCAGTGTGCTTTCACGTATAATAATTAATATTATTCGCTCTCTCTCTCTCTCTCTCTCTCTCTCTCTCTCTCTCTCTCTCTCTGACCTTATATTCGAATTATTTACTTTATTACTAAAGTCAGGACGGCGAGGAACGCTGGGATACCAGTTTTAGAGAGCAATGCTCGGTCGGTCGATCGATCGCATCGTTTAATATACCGATATAAAGGGCACTTCGATCAAACTAGACGTGGAATTATCCGTCGAAAATGGACCGACCCGTGAAATCTTTGATTTCAATCGAACGACGTACCAGTGGGAAAGTAAAACGAGGAGGATCGGAAAGCAATAAACTACTCCAAGTAATAAAGATAATCAATTTTAACGGGTCAGACCGTAGAAAATGATGGGAAATATTTTCTATGGCGATCGCTTATGAGCTCAATAGAGAAGAATATTTTCATTTGGTCACCTATGTTGGCCAAGAATAATCTCGCGCGTCAGGATCCTTTATATAGGTAGCTATGAAGAAAGAATTGCTTCTTTTTTTCTTTTTCTTCGATCATCGTCGCCATCGTCGATGTTATTAAATACCGCGATCAGAATTATCAATTCCTATGTTCTGAACGAGGAATACTTAACGATCTAGCATAACGATATAATGATTTTCAAACGAACGATGCGTTGGATGCTGGAAAGAGAGAGGTAAGCTTCTCCGGAGCAACGCAAAGCCGATTCTGCTTCGTAAAATCGATTCTATGATAAAGGAAAAGAAAAACAAAAGAAAAGAAAGAATCAATTTTCGAAGATATTGCAAATACTACATACCCATAACGGAGAATCTAAACACGATGGCAATTCCTTCTCTCCTCGAACTATCGATGAAGCAGTGAAAAATATCCGGTACCCGGCATTTCCTCGCTCACGCACACGTAGAAAAAACGATAGGTAGTCGTAGACGATCGGATGAGGGCTGGGTATTTTTTGCGCAGGGCTCTTGGGTTAATGGGTTGAAAGAAGGGGGGGGGGCGGCGGCTGTCGATACGACTAAATTTATACGCTTTTATGATGCACTCAGCCTATACAATGTTTCCCGACGAATACTCTCCGTGTCAAATAACTCTGTCGTTCTCTCTACTATCGCGATCGTCGCGAATCGCGTTGTAATATTACCTGTGCGGGAAAAACAGTACGGATACGCGGTGTGTCGCGTCTGTGTACGGTCATGGGATCAATGTGTCCTGTGTACTTCCGTGTGTTTAAGTTTATACATAATATATATCAGTGCTTTACCCCCGGACACGTAACAAGGACACGAGCAAAGTTAAAATATTAGTTATAATATTACATAACGTTTAACGCGTAGGAAGTTTTAACTTATTTTTTCTTTATTTTTCATTTTTATTTTCGATCCTCGATCGTTCGTGTCCTCGTTCCGGATCTTTCGCGCATCCCTCATCTCGCATCTATCGATAATATCATTTTATTCGCAATCTACGATGTCGTATAGTTTCACTTTAGAGATCCTTTTTATCTTGTCACCTATTTCTCTCATTCAGCCGCTCATCCGCTCATTCTCTCTCTCTCTCTCTCTCTCTCTCTCTCTCTCTCTCTCTCTTGCTCTACTTGCCCCTTTTTTATAGTTTTATAATTTTAGATGAACGATAATACTGGCTAATTTTTCTTCTTTTACTTTTAAAATTATTTATATACATGTATATATATATATATGTGTATATATATATATATGTATGTATGTATGTATATATGTATATATGTAAATATTATTTAATCGCTTTACTCGTAATTATTATCGTTTCTTTTTAGTGAGTTCTCCCACATCTCGCACCGCTCTTCTGCGTCTTTTATTTTCTTCGTATTCCATTATCTATAGTCAACATTTGCATAGAACGCGTCGCGATATTTAACGATGGCGGAGTTTTGCGTGTGTATACGTGTGCGATGCAGGCGCGTTCGCGCATGATTTGGCTTATTCTTTCATATTTTTATTTTCCAACTTTTTCTTCGATATAGCATGCGTGCACGATCCTTTCGATATCTCTGTAGCGGCCCTTTTTATATCTATTCTTGTATGTATAATATTATTTTTCTTATGTATAACATGTACATGTACTATATATAAATAAATATATATATACAACGCACGCGCGCGCGCGCATACATACGCACGCACGCATGCACGCACGCACGCACGCACGCACGCACACGCACACATACACACATATATTTATAGATATAGATATAGATCTGTATATATGCATATATATTTATAGAGATCTATATAAATACTATATATTTATACATAGTACATATAGATTCAATGATGTATACCTTTAGTAGTTGTCTGTTTTTTGTTTGTATACGAGGGCTAACTAACGCTACAAGTAATAATCTTTTATCAAAAGCACATGTATATCGTGACTAGTCTACATATATATATATAACATGTGTATATAGTATATTGTATATAAACCGACCATTATGTATGTCACGTTGTATTATTTCTTTCTGCTTACGCTTTTCTGTTGGGTATTTGCTGGGTATGTGTGTGTGTGTGTGTGTGTGTGTGTGTGTGTATCTGTATACCTGGATCTATACGCCTATCGTAATGATATGGCTGCTGTGGGAAAGGTTGTGTTATCTCGCATTTGTTAATCATTTCTTTCGTGCTTTATCGAACTCGTTGTTGTCGACGCGAATTTGTTTTCATACACGAACGATACGGAAAGATTTCGCTCGACAAAGAAGAAACCACCGGTTGCGTATAATAGCAATTTTTCTCATTGTGCCGTTGGAGCTAAGTATCCATCGAATTGCCTTTCGACGATCCTTTTTCTGTCGCTCATATCGTCGAGTATTATTTTTGTTTTCTGTCGACCAAGATTATAAAAAAACCAAAAAAAAACAAGAATATATATGAAGGAATAAGAAAAAAAAGAAGGAAAGAAAGAAAGAAAGAATAGAGTTTTTTGACTGAAAATACTTTTTTTTTTCTTTTTTTTTTCTTTTTTTTTTTTTTTTTTTTTTTTTTGAAAAAATTCATACGTCTTTAACGTTTAAACTCTTTCTTTGCCTCCTTTTATTTCTAATTTGTCGCTTTTCTTTTCTTTTTTCTTTTTTTTTTCTTTTTTCTTTCTTTTTCTTTTTTTTTCTTTTTTTTTTCTTTTTAATATCGATAGGTTGTGCTTTGAAAGCTTCACTCTCGCTCGAAATATTTTCATTTATCATTTGTCTATTTATTATTACAACGGCGAGAATGACGAAGCTGCACGAATCTCGAGTAAAGTTTCCTATCGATTTAGGAACGTCGGTTCTAGTTGGGAAAGAATATTCGTCATGGTCCTATCGGTTAGCGTTTTTAATTACTTTGACAATCGCCTACGAACGCTCGATCGATATTTTTAACTAATTAAAATTGCTCGATATCAAGCGAGACCTCATTACGACGAGTAAATGATATAAATATAGAAATATGAAAGTTATCCAGCAAAATGGTAATGATTTGTTGTACGGTTTGTAACTCGCCTTTGAATTGAAATCGATATTTTCTTAAGGGAAATTTTAATTACGTTCGTAATTTGCAACGGAGCAATTATATTTTATATCGATGGTATTGGAGAGATCGAAGATAACTCCGCGCATTAAACTGTGATATGAGGTCGTCGATACGATACATGATCAATTAACAACGTAGGCGAATCGCGTTAATACATCGCACGTATCTTTCTAATCGTTTGAAATTGTGAAAGAGATTCAATGGAATAGACCGCGTTCGCGAGTTTATCTATTTTCACAAATAGAAATCTATAATATTAACGTGACATTGGATTTATATAAATTATACAATGAATAGAGGCGTAATATCTTATCGGAATATTAATTCGAAAAGAAAAATAGATCTAACGGAGAAAGAGGAAAATTTTTTAAATATTTCCCGATAAGAGAAATTTTTGATGCTACGTGCGATGAAATTAGCGTTAGAAAGACCATAGACGAGGGAAAGACGATCGTCGAAATCGCCGAAACCGTTAAACTCGCGAATAAAAAGGCCAGAAAACATCGGCAGAGATCCGTTACGAGCACGGTGTTATTTTATTTGTATTCTATTTATATGTTTAGTCTATTATTTGCTCAAACGAAGTGCATTGATCTCACTCGCGCTTATTCCGTTTACGTTCACTGCGCTGCGCATTTCGTCAACGTTCGATGATATCCGCTCGCAAGCCCTAATTAATGGCTCGTTTTCGGAAGTTGTTGTTGTTGTTGTTGTTGTTGTTGCTGCTGCTGGTGGTGGTGGTGGTGGTGCTGCTGCTGCTGCTGCTGCTGCAGCTGTCGCTGTGGCTGTTGCTGATGGCGATCGTCGTCGCTTGCCTCGACGTCTCCTTCGGCACCTTTCTCGGGCTCTTCCAAGATACGGGCTTCCTCCGTGTCGACGCTGCTCGTAGGCGTCATTTGTTCGGTCGCGATCGCGATCGCGCCCGCTCCCACACCCGAACCCGCACCCGCACCCGCTATGATCGAGCCAGCCGTCGTGGTAGTAGTTTCCCCGACCTTCTCAAATCCCAAACCCCCTAGGAGGCTCTTGTCAATCGGCTCCGGCGAGGCTTCCGACTCCTCGCTGCTAGGTGAACCGGGAGACGAGACTATCACCTACGCAAGCGGACGCAATCGCCCCCGAAAATGTTTCTCTTATTTCTCATTATTTTTCCATCCTTAATTCTCCCTTTTCCCTTCGTTAAAAACTTCAAAGAGACCTCTATCGGTCCTTTATTACACTTTCTCTTCCCTTTACTTTATCATTAAACAAGATGAAAGGAGACATTTCATTGATTAATCCTTTCTGTTTTTCAATATAAATAATCGATCAAACTGGATTTTGTTCGATAAATTTCATTAATTAACAGAATTCATTATTCAAAGCCGATACTAAAGTTTATGTGGAAAGAATGAAATTGTCTTCTTGTACTGGTACGAACTTGTCTGCTATCGTCAAAAATCAAATCTATCCTCTCCTCCGCCGCTGCGTGTCTTATTCGACAAATATACTGATTATACTTATTATTGATAAATATAATATTTTCAAACTTTTTATCGAAAGAAAACGAAAAGAAGGAAAAAAGAAACGAATAATTAAATAAAAGAAAAAAGAGAAAAAAGAGAGAAGAGAAAAATGTCCAACTGTTGTTTACGATAATAACAAGTCGCTTCAACGTCGTTTCAGTTTACAAAATCGGAAATGGAGCAAAGAATCGATGGGATAAGCGCTCTTCACTACAAACGTTTTTAGCGCCCTTGAATCATTTCTACGACGAAAGGTATGCTTTTAATTCCTACAAATTCGCACTTTATACAGTCGTTTTATGGGGCAGTCGTTTATCAAGATAGTTATTAAAGATGAACGACGTCGAGTATGATTTAAAAGTGAGTTGCGCAAACTCGATCGATTCTCCGACATCTGAATTGAGCCATGCACGTGATTGTAAAGTAATTAGCGGATGAAAATGTGAATGATAATGATGATGGTGATAACAATAACAACGACAATAACAACAACGGCGATAATAATAATAATAATAATAATAATAATAATAATAATAATAATAATAATAATAATAATAATAATAATGATAATAATGATAATAATAGTATCGACAACAGCAACGACAACAACAACAACAACAACAACAACAATAATAATAATAATAGTAATAACAGTAGTGATGATGATGATAATAATAATAATAATAATAATAATAATAATAATAATAATAATAATAATACCTGTGCAAGAAGCGGCGTCTCTGTACTGTTAGCGGTTTGGTAGAGCCGGCAATTTGCGCTTGCTCTGAAGAATACGTGCCCAAACGAAAAAAGATAAAGAAGACAACGTAAATCGTCACTATAATCGAAAAACGTCGAAACTATAGACGCAAATGGAAATAATAGCGTCGCGCGACGAATAGATATCTCCTTTTTTGATGCTGACAAAATTGACTCGTACAGAACTGACATCGAGACATGCACGAAGGTATTTTGCATAAACACGTAAAGTATGCAAAATAAATGAATGATCTAAAATTCGCGCAAAATGTTATGCGAGTGATTTATTACGAATGATATACTTTGGTGCGCAGCAGCTAAATAAATGTGTGTATAGAACATTTTGCAAAGCGAGTGATCGAGAAAATACGTATATATGTACAATAGTTTTTGGTCCATTCGGCAGATATTTACCGATAAATATTTACACGATCGTTTAACCTAGATGAATAGAAGTGTAGAAGTAATGTTTCGAACGGCATAGATCGTTCGCATGCGCGCTAAAATATAGTGAGAACAACACAGCGAGAGAAGAAAAGAGAGCGGAAGGAGTAGTAGCGTGGTGGAAAGATCATTGGTAATTATCGTGCTACTGCGCTCCAAACAGATTGCGAATCGTCGAAAATAATGACCGATAGAAAATCGCCTAATGATCGATGAAAGCACTTATTATTAAGCAGATGAATGTCATTGGACTTTCTTTGATATATTCTTGATTCGAGAATAAAATGATTTGTCTGTTTAAAATAACATGTTTCTTTCTTTAAACGCTAAATGATTGAAATTTTACCGGAACGTTGGCTTCGAATGAAATTCGTAATGCGTTTGCGCAGCTGATTCACGGAGCTGATTCAGTGCCAGAAAATCGACCTTTTCTTTTTTTACTAGATAATAGTATTTCAAACATGATTAACATTTATTATGGCCGAACACATCGACTTTAATTGTCTGTGCAACGCACCTGTCGAGGCTTGATTGGCGGCGGCGGAGGCGGACGAATGGAGGGTGCGAGGGCTTCGGCTGCTGTAGTTTGGGGTGGACGATGAAGTGAGGGTGGCTGCTGCCAAAGCAGCCCTGTTCGACCCAATGTTCCCTGTACCTGTTGTTGTACCTGTTGCTGTACCTGCTGCTGCTGCTGCTGCTGCTGCTGCTGCTGATGGTGATGGTGATGTTGCTGCTGCTGCTGCTGCTGCTGCTGCTGCTGCTGCTGTTGTTGGTCCACTTGTTGCTGACTGTTGCTGTGCTCGGTTGCTGGCGTAACTCGAGGAAGCGCTGAACCGACTGAAGAAGTCTTCCGAACTGTCTGTGAAATGAGTGTCTGATTACTCGGCCCTTATTATTCATCCTTTCGTTATACTTTTGGAATAATTTGGATTGGGAATGTATTCAAATTGACGGAAGTAAATGATATCATTACCTGACTTAATTGGCCATATTTCCAAAAGATATTTCAATACAGCTATCGGCTGTTGGAAATCCAACGGAGGACCACCTTCTTCGGAGTGTAACATGAGTACTGGTCCAAAACAGACAGCCAAACTCGCTGGTGACATTTTGTTACATTGAGAAACGACCATTGCCAAGTGGTCTAATAAATAAATCAATGTACACTGCAATCGAGACGTTATCGTTTTAATCATATTATGCACGTTATCTGTCAAATATACTACAACATATATTGTATTATCTTATTAACTGTCATATCGATCTCGTTGGATCATCTAGTTGAACTTACTCTGTTAACTTTAGGCAAACAATCCAATATACTGAACATGAGTTTAGCGTTGCCTTGTGGATCGTCGGGCAAACAAACGGCCAGCGCGTCGACCATCATCTGATAGAGGCATTTAGTAAAGAGCGGCTCCGGAAGTTCACGTAAATAATCTTTCAGTACGCCTATATGCGAAAAATAATTTCGTTTAAACTTTGTTAAGAGGCAAGGTCTAAAACTTTGGTGGAAACTTACCGGTGATGACGTTTATGTCTGGTACGTTGTCGGGTGACAGATTGACCGATCGTGCATTTCGTTCAAAAGCTTCCCTTAATATCCTCTTTTTTGTTGCCGAGCCGCAAAGTCTATACAAACCTGTAATACATATATATATATATATATATATATATATATATATAATAATTATGTGTGTGTTAGATATAGATATCGAAAGTAATATTTCGTATTCGATAATTCGCAGCGATCAAGTGTCATGACGATAAGAATCATCACGATGTTACAGACCTATAATATCCAAGCCTCTCCTTTCAACCTCCTCGACGCATCGCCAAACTATTATCGGTACATTTGGAACTCCCATTGCTAGTGCCGTGGAAACACCACCGGGAACTCCTCCAGTCTTTGACTCTCGACTAACCTGTGGATAAAATTCAAGTGGTTAATTATTCGTTAATTATTAATTATTCGATTATTAGGAAAAGCCATATAAAGTATGTCTATGGACGCGTAGATATAGTATTAGTAGGTAGATTAGTATTAGACTTATACCTTAGGTATAAGTATTAAACTTACAACGGTATCGAGATCGACTCCGAACAAAGGAGCTACTCTGGTAGCGAGGGATATAACTGGTAATCCCCTCCGTCTGAAAGTTTGCTGAGCGTCGGTATATCGCAGTCTTAAATAGATTGTACCTCGAGGCTCCACCTTAACCGCCAACTGATGCATCGCCGCTTCCTTAAGCAGTGTCGCCAAGTGTACGGATCCTTTATAACAGAGTTTGTGCCGATATTGTGGGTCCCAAGAATATACAAGCAGATCCAGCTGCCGATTTCCTACGAGATCCAGCTCGAAGGTTTCGTCCCAATCGAACATCAAATCGCCCGTTCGCACTACGGTCCGTGCTTTGTGCACTCTGTCACACTCCAATACGCAATATAAGTCTCTCAGGCCGCAGCTAGCTGTTTATTCATTAATAATTTATTATTATTTATTATCTTTTTTATTCGTTATTAATCTTTTGACATACCTAAATTAGGCTGACCCGATGGCGTTGAGGGTGTAGTTGCTGCCGAGGAGGTTGTAGTCGAACGAAGGCCACGACCCGCTAATAAGTGTACCCAGAGCAATCCACTGACCCCACCTGCCAGATCACCACCGCTGGTCTCCCCGAGCGAACTCAAGAGGGAACTGGTCGAACTCGGAGTACCCACTGTCGGTGGCTTTTCTATCTTATACTTGAGGAACTCTAAAACGTCACATTATATGGGAGGGTTTACATGAGAGGGATTATCATGTCGAGACTACAAGCTGGATATTACTTACCTGCAGGATTAATATCTAGCAGTCTTTGATCCTGAGTTCTGGTAGGTGTGGGGGTCGGTATACTTCTCGTAGATTCAAGGTCTAATAAGTTTCTAATTCTTCTAACTGATGTTGCCCTTTGACTCGCTGAACTTCCTAACGACGGTTTTTGACTTGTCAAAGAGGAACGTGCGCTTGTAGCCACCGATGCCGGCCTAGGATTGCCTGTACCCCGATGACACGTCGAACTAATAGCCGTCGACGCTCTCAAATTCGCCAAATTAACTTGTTGCGCCGAGGCAGATCTCGTTGAAAGTCGGTCCAACGTACTAGAAAGTGGTCTGTACGCCCCGTAACTACCATAATCGCCCTACGATATAGATATAGCGTCAAACAAAGGGTTAAATCTCTCTCTCTCTCTCTCTCTCTCTCTCTCTCTCTCTTTCTCTCTTGTAAGAATCAATTGCAAGATCGAGTAATAAAATAATTTACTTGATTGACCGCCGCGTGAATATTTTCAGCGCTATAGGTATAACGTGGTGGTCGATTTGTGGTGGCCCTGATTTGCTCGTACAATGCGCTCGTGCTAGGCGTCCTGCTCAACCACGCTCGATATTCGTCGGAAGTGAATACGCTAGGCGACGATGGTATCCTACCTGTTTCGTCGGGTTAATAAAAATACGAGAGTGAAAATTTACGTATTTATTTGGGCAAGGTACGCTTTTTTTTGCTTTTTGTTTGTTTTTTTCTTTTTCGCATAGTTACCCCTGTCCCGTCTAATCGAAGGCAATTCCGGGGCCGATAAAGCACCATCGCTGTCTTCCTGATCGATCAATCCTGATGCCACCGTACTGAGACCCGACCTGATACCTGGCTGTTGCGGCAACGTTCTACCACTTCGGGGCAAAGAGTTCGATCTCAGTCCTAGAGTACAGGAGTGACGAAAGAAAGAAAGAAAAAAAAAAAAAAAAAAAAAACAAAAAACAAAGTATTGTAGAAAAGGAGAGTAAGGAGAGTAACGACGTTGGTTGAAAAATTTAAATTACCCGCCATACCCTGACCAATTTGCGATCTCGAAAGGGTCGCAAGATGGGAGACGGCACTGCTCGATGGTGGATTATTCATATTGTGTCTGTAATAATAGTAGGCAGATTTCGGTGAACTCGAACACGTGGCCTCGGTATCGGAAGCATAATCCAAAGATGGTCTGTGTCTCCTGGTCAAAGTACCGACTGGATTTCGCCTTGGTGTGATCGACGGCGTGTCCGCTTGAGTCCCGTATCTGGTGTTGTATCGCAATGCCGACGTTCCTGCATGAAAGAAAATGATTTAGTTGATAGCAAGTAATAACGACGACAATACAATACTGCCTCTTGGTACATAACGCGTACCCGATTTTAAGCTCGATCTTAGAAGAGTATGACGAGCTGGCATCGTTATGCTCGCGTAATCGACGCGCGGCAAATGTTGATCCGAACCGCTTCTTGGAATGATCCTTCCACTTCCGGCATGCTGAGAATAACCATAATGAGAGGACTGAGTCTGCCCTGACAATCTTCCTGCGACCGTTTGCATTCCGCCACCGGTGGACATTCGACGTCCATCGTTCGAGGGCATCACTGGCCCAGTATAGAAGGAGTGTACCTATTTGCAGTACCGTTGCGACGTGTTACGTTATCGACGCGTTTCATCGCAGGTCAAAAATTTATTTCGTGTCTCGGATTATCGTCAACTTTGTGACTTCGTCAAGTCACTAAGAATTAGATCGTTGGGGAAAAATGAAAATAGAAAGTGGAATAGAAAGTGTATCCATGAATAGCAACGGAAAGAAAATATAGTCGACGATAATCCAAGATACCGATAATCCATTTAACGATTGCCCATCGACACTATGATTGGTTTCGCAAGCTGAGCAATTAATTGTACTAGTTTTGTTTGGATAGCGAAATGAAAAATAATTGAAAGATCGATATCTTATAAAGGGAAGTTGATCAATCATAATGTCAATTAATTAACGTTCACGATTACGATAGAATCACGTAGATAAGAGATATGGATATAATAAGATTCAAAATGCAGGACGATAGAAAGAAAACGATGGAAGGAATTGCACAGCAAGCATATGTACGAGGCAACGAAAAGTAGGGGGTTTACGTTATTAAAATATAGCGGTACACGTACGCGACTTTTTTCATATATCTATTTGATATCGCTATGAAATCTAATTATATTGAATAATATTTGGAAGAAAAGATTTATTAATACGGAAAAAGATTTATTAATAGAAAAAATGTGTGCATCGGTAATAATAAAAGAAAAAACATACCTACCTATTGATTGCAAACGAACGAAATGATTAATAGCGAAAGGAGGGAGCACAATAATCGAAGGAAATATTCGGGTTGAATATACTGCCGATGCATACATTTGGTGTGTGGTGCCGAATTGACCGTCGTATTGCCGAATATAATTAAAATGCTTCATATAGAAATTTCGCATGGATTCGATTGGAGGAAATGCAGATATACGTATCGAATAATGAGCATATGTATATATTATATATTATATATATATATATATATATATATATGTATATATATATATCGCGTACGGTACGTACAGTACGATAAATTGCTCTTATACCTATACACAATTCTAGATATGAAGAAAGAGTTAGTGTTGTCTTTACCTTCGTAAAATCCTGGTTAATTTCAATGTAGCATTCATTCATAGAACCGATTAGTTATATGAAAGACGACATCGAAAGACGAACGTCGTGTCGTAAGAATGTCGACACTCCGTGCCGTTCGGAAATACATCGACGTGAGTTTCGGATATTGATCACACATTAAATAATCAAGCAGACATAGAAGCGAAAGCTCTCGTCTTTCTAGATAGGAGCATGCAAAATGTGTTATTTAAAGTAATTCAACGAGGCACATTTTATATATATATATATATATATATATATATATATATATATATGTATATAAATATATATGTATGTATGTATATATATATATATATCTCATAGCAATATCAATTATCCGAAAGACTCGGAGATCGTGTTGGCAATAAAGGTGCAATGATCGCTCTGATTTCTATCGGAGAGTGTCTCGAGACAATAGACGAATTCACCACTTTCTTTTCTAACGTAACGTAGCGTTTATCGGAGATAGAGAAGGGAAAACAAGTAGTTAAATTGGTGCAGATAGGTGTATGAAAGGGTGCTCGATCCACATCGTCTAGAACATCTAATGTATAGTATCTACACGTGACATCAGATCGAGATTGACATCGGATCGGACAGGCTAATCGTATCTTGACTTATTTTCTCGAATCGATCGGAGAGCATTAAGAAAATCTCGAGCTATGTCAAGTTTCTTATCGTTAGACGAACGACATCCGTAGCTTACGATTTATCGCGTGCCACAACCAAAACTTACTTTCTCGGCCAGACTTTCCAATGTCTTCGGATAACCACGCTCGTAAGGTTGAAAATGTTGTGCGGTCGCAGGTTTCGGTTGATGGGTGATGACAGGTGGTGGCGGTGGTTGATAAGACCAATGTCCTTCCGGTCTCGAATTGTAATAAAGATCGCCGTTACTAGAACCCAAATCTTGACTCGATCCCAAACCCGTAAGGCCTAGTTGCGATCGGGAGGGCAACATTTCTCGTCCGTCGCCTCGTCTGCGACTACTGTCTCTGCCGATCGAGATAAAGTATTTCATTTCAGTCCGCAATCCGGATCCATCCGTTCAGATATATATCTTAGATTTCTGATGTACCTGACATGATTACTCGTAGCGTGGTCGCTCTCGTCTTCGTTCAGTTCCCTCTTGATCACTACCACCGGTGGTGCTTTGTGCTCGGCCTGACGACTATGAGAGACAGCTTGATGGGGACCGTGTCTGGTCGAGAGAATGAGCCTCCTCGGTATCGACATGATAATAACGACGTCGTCTAGGCTCATGTGCGTCACGTCAACTAAATTTACCGCGAGGATCTCGTCGCCTACCTAGGAGAATAAGATTTTTTATATATTTTAACGATATTTTATCGTCGATTGTAATTAAAAATACATATGGTGTCTGAATCGTTTGCCGACGCGAGGGGGTAGAGCCTTTATAGCTCTCTCTCTCTCTCTCTCTCTCTCTCTCTCTCTCTCTCTCTCCCCCCTAGAATTCGACGATTCTAATGGATTTCGTTTGGGTTATGAATCTTGGGCGTGAATTAAAGTTACGATAGATGAAAAGACGAAGAGAAGCCTCCTCTCACAACGAACGAACTCGTAACCTTTTTCTCTGGGATATATAAGACGAACGAGGACGTATTAATTCTCGATTTAAATTCTCACCTTCAAGCAGCCACTGTTATAGACGGCAGTTTCCAATGCTATCCTTGAGATGAAGACGCCGTCGTTTCTGTCAACGCCATTACCTTCGCGTATATATAAGCCAAGCGTCTGTCCCGGCCTTTTAATTATCTCAACAAGGTGGATAGGGTGTTTAGGATCCTAAAAGAGGATGACGTTGAAGAGATGACGTTGCGCGGACGATTTCAATTCTTCTTCTTCTTCTTCTAATAACGATCGATCAGATTCCGCTATGTGATAATGGACGATTAACGGGGACGTACCTGCATCGCAATGAATTTCTTTGCCGCTTCGGACACTTGTCTGCCCATTTGACGGGGCTCGATGACGCGAACGACCATGTCACCCCTTTGCTCAACAGCTTCGAGGGCCGCTGCCGTCGAGGCGTCATGATCGTTCTCGACCGTTTCGATTTGCTTGAAGATGTCCGAACTGATCCCGCTTATCTGCAACAAAACGTCCTTCCGCTTCAGGAAGCGTAACGGACCGAGATATTTTTGACGATACGCTTTTGTGAAATCGACCCTTCTCGGATATATTCCATGGAGAAAGCATTATCATTATACTCATTCGCCTAATTTATCGTAATCCGTATTTTGCTTTAATCGTCGAGCTGTAATTCCCGTCCGCTCGGATTTATCGTCGAATTTATTCCTCGAATTTATCGTCGGGTCGTATTTCACAAACATCGATGGCGACTTTAAGGCATTACAGAGTATTTGAAATGATTACTTTTCGGAAGTCTCCCTGGATGACCAAAGATGGTGGTTCCTTGGGGCGCAACTGGTTGGTAGGAGCTTGCCTTCCAGGACTTGCGCTTATGTCTATCACTTCCCCCCGGCCCTCCTATAATTACACCGATTCTATAATTAATTGATTAATTCGTTAAAATATATCGCTCCCCGTCTCTCTTAAACAAGATCATATCTGATACGCAAGTAATTTTGTCGAAAAGTATATCAAACGCGTGGGGCGATCGATGGTAATCGAAAGAAATGTTCAAGACGAGGAAGGAGCGAGCCTCCGTGCGATATTTAAGAATCCGCCGATAAAAACGGCGAATCCATAGACCATCCATGACTTCGGATTCGTTTTTTTCTCTTTTCTTTTTTATTTTTTTTGTTTTTTGTTTTTTGTTTTTTGTTTTTTGTTTTTTTCTGGGTCTTTAATCGCCTAAAACTCCTTCTTATGTATCCCTTTCTTCATTCGTTTTTCACTCCCTTTCGCGTACCCTCACCCATTCTCGTTCTAACCTCTATCGTTCCACGTTTCCCTTCGGGCTCGTTGTGCCACGCGTTAATCGCTAGTGTCGAGAAGAAGATAGAGAGATCTACTCCCTCGCTCTCTCTCCCCCCCGCCTCTCTGTCTCTCTCTCTCTCGTACGGTCCTTTTCACGCGTCGATATGTGCTCCGAGATAGGTGGAAGGTATATAACACCGTGAGGATTACCTTACGGGAGAAAAAGCACCCTGTGCCACCCCTGTCGCACATCCTCGTCTATCCCATAGTGGCTAATATGGCGGGAAGAAGTACTTGGAAGCGTACGGAAGCCGCGCACGCGCTTTTCCCGCGTAATACTCTCGCGAGCCATGGAGTGTGGGTAACTATCGATCCACCATGACGTCACCGTACAACCTCTTTCCTGCTTCGCGTCCGTCCACCATCTCCACCCACTTCTTTTTCTACGTCTATCCATGTCCTCGTTCAACGCCGGGGTTCAGTCTTTGATTTCCTTTCGATACATCCCCTCTTTCGTCTTCCCTTCTATCTCTTTCGCTCGAATCGTCTGTCACTTCCATGTGTGTCTTTCTTTCTGCCCTTTCCACCCCAGCCCCATCCTCTTTATTTTTTTCGTTCTCTGAGACGTACGATCATGATCTCAGAGAGAGAGAGAGAGAGAGAGAGAGAGAGAGAGAGAGAGAGAGAGAGATTTAACATTTATCTACGCTCTACCATCGTCACCCTTATCTTCGCCCTTAGCTTCGAAGACCTCACGATCTTTGCATCAAACTTCTCATAGAAATTGGTCCTCCTCAAGAGGAGATAAGGATGAAGATGGACTTTTCTCCGATCGAATCGTTCGTCAAATACCAACCGAGAAAATGAAAATAATTCATTGTAGAGGATTCTTTTCGTCGATCAAAGTTCGAAGAGAAATGAAAAAGCGTGCGGTACGCCGCTGCGCGTAGTAGGTCGTAAGTATCAGTAGTAAAACGTGGTACTAAATAGTGGTGACGTATACGCAGGCGTACGCACGTACGGCCATCGACGGTTGAAAAAAGGGGAGTGGCAGGGAGATCGAAAGACAGTAGGGATAGGGTGAAGAGAGGAGGGAGGAGAAAGAGATGGAATGCCGAGCCAAGAGAATGTAGTAAATGGGGCTTTGGGGAGGAGGCGGAGGAGAGGGAAATGAAGAGGGATGAAAGACCCCTCTGGTCTTTGCAGAATCCTGCAATACGATGTCGGTTCAGCGCGCCTGCGCTTCGTGGACCTGGAAAAGCTCGATTCAACTCGTCTACCCGTCATCGTCATTTTGTCCCTGTAGGCGCGCGCACACGCGCTCTATAAAGAGAAAGGGAGATGGAATACTTGGCGCTTGCGCCTTTCGATTCCACGTTTATACGACTAAGATACGCGTATGTTTCGAACACCGTACCTGTCTCTCGTGTCGTATATAGGCTGTTATTAAGGATAGAAAAGTGTCAGCTACGTGTCGCTGCTACGTGTGCTGGACAGGTGAATGCGGCGCGGCTGCTTACCCCGTAGAGTATAGGATATATGCCTGTATCGTAGATTTGTGCGTAGGTGATGAGGCGTACGGCGCATGTGTGCATGGTTAACCGCTCGACCACGTGTCTCTACGTGAACTTTCCGCCACACGATAGACCACACGATACTCTGCACACGTTGGTATGCATACGATAAATACCTACTGACCGTGAACGTACATATACGGTTCATACGTGGTTCGATGTATTAACAGCCCCCTTCCAGTTAGCCCCATTTTCTCTGCTTCTATCGCGTAAGAGAATCGACAGCTATGCGAAGATAAATATATAGAGGGCAAAAAGAGATTGTGTGCGGTTATATGGGTGGGATGAAAGACGAGTGCTACGTATAATATCCTCTCTCTTTCTCTCTCTCCTCGAGTTTTTCTATACGTTCTTCTATACGAGAAGGAGCGTGCGTCGCCTAGGCTCAAGTGGAGAAGAGCGCGAGTCCGTCTCTACGGACTTTTTCCGATTGTGTTCGGCTTTCGTAATTAGCGAGCTAACGGTGATAAAAGTTCATTGTCAACGACGGTAGTCAATTGATAAAATATCATCCGTCATGATAATTTTTTTTTCTCGACGATTTAAGCGAAAGAGATCGCACTCTCGTTATATCGCATTAAAGAATCGAATGCTTCTTGAAATCTATAAGAACTGCGTGAACGGGGAAAATCGATGATCGGCGTCTATAAATATAAAAAAGTCTTTTCTGGTCTAGTTATATATAATATATCAAAGTCCCTGGATAGTCTTGACCTTTCCAAACACGATGATTTAGTGGATCACGAGAAATATATTCCCACGTAATAAGGCGCTCGGCGTACATTTGTAATATCATATTCTCTAAATGGCACACGGACGTTCTCTGATATATGTAATAATACTATATATACGCATTTATATATATATATATATATATATATATACAGAGTTGTATACGAAAGAGGATACGACAGATGGTTCTTTTTACGTATCGAGGATCCTTTCTTGTTACATTCTGATCAATTGGGCAAAGAGCCGTCCATAAAAATTCGCAATTTTTAGAATTCGTGATGTTCGGACGTATACACGGGCACAATGTCTCGCGGATCCCTATCGATGGATACACGAGATGCCAAACTCTTATGAAAGAAGAGCTTTGAAGGTAGACTAGGGAGAGAGAGAAAGAGAGAGAGAGAGAAGGCCGAGACAAGGGTACTTTTGACTCGGGAAACGAAATAGAATGGGTCACTCGGAAGATATCGCCGAGAAATCGGATCCGTTTTTCGAAGCTTTATCGAAAGACCTTTATTGGGTATCGTGGCCAATCGTGCGCGAACTACATACCCTATGTATTATGTATATAATCCTATCGGGAAAGGAACGTATGGATATGTATATTCTATCCGTTTCCAGTCCCAATCCATTGATATTCGTTGGCTTTTGGAATATTTAAGAAAATGACACAAAACGAGATAGATCTTAAAACGACTAAGACGACGGGATCTAGGGAGGCATCTAGATAGCGATAAGAGTATAATGTAACTTCATTTCTCAATTTAATTAACGTTATTTAAACGTTATTTAACGTCATTTTTTTTTTTTATTTTTTTTATTCTGTCGAAATTTAATTAGACGAGACAAGGTGACATTAAAAATAATTTATACGAGATAATTAAGCCTTATCGGGATGATCACTTGATAGAAATAAGTACTGTATTAAATTTCGTAAGGAGACGAGAAGAATGATAGAGGAGATCGTTAACTTAAATATTGTCCCCAATCAACCCCAATATCGTTTCATGGATCTTCGCGGAAGATCAAGGAGCTTGATCTATTGCACGCGATATCTATACCTTTGAAAGTATCTTATTGCCCGTATCTGAGACTTTAGGATTGGAATCGATGGAATATTTGCAAGCGCATTGATCGTATTTCCAATAATAATTCCATATCTATCATTGATACCTAAATATTGCAGTAGGTACAAGATATTGATCAGTATGTCCCGTATCGTATGGATTCGATGGACGGAAATTTTTCGAAATACGCTACGCCGAGATATTGATTTCACGCCGCGCGTTCTTCTTTCTTTTGCACGATAGGACCCTTTCGTGCGATAGAGAGAAATAACCTGGGAATAGTCGCTCGGGGTTGCGGATGTGTTTATCGCGTCACAAAGAGATTAAAAATGGGTATGCGATGAGTAGGAAGTAAAATTCCATAGGAAACCGTTTTCAATCCCGTACATCAAAGCATCGCATACGAAGCGAATGAACAAAGAAATCTCCTTGGAGTTTGCACAGAAATGTTTATAGAATTTCCACATTCGTCAACATTTGTATTGAAAATATTCGATACGTCTGCACGTAACCGTGCACGATATTACGAAAGCCGTGGCTTAAAAGATTTCTTTTTTTTTTTTTTTTTTTTAATCAATTCTACGACACAGGATCGAATAATTTCCAAACTAGCAACAGTTTTAAAGAGTTTTAGTTTGGTAGCGAAATTCAAAAGTGAATTTTAACAAGGAATTTAAGCGAAATTCGATGCGCCCAAGTGGCATTTTAGCGCGTACGATGGGCCCTTAGTCGATCGCCGCATAGACACATTTTCTAGAGCATCGTACTATAATCTATAGATATCTCTCCCGAGGAATCTTTTCATACATTCTCACGTGGTACCACATGAGAAAGTGGTGGAAAAGAGGAAAGGGATCGTAACGATCCAACTGCTCTAATTCCGGTATGTGGAACGTGCAAGAGGGATAATTGCGGCCCAGCTGAAAATCAAAGAGACTTCCTTTTCGTCCGACATTCCCCGCTTGTGCCCCATTTTTTCCTTCTCCCCCACCCCCCCCCCCTTTCCTCGGTCGCCCGCGCCCCACCTATATTTATATTCATCCTCTTCATTCTTCCCCACTCCCGCTCTTCTCTCCCTCTCCCTCTCCCTCTCCCTCTCTCTCTCTTCATTTCGCCGTCTCCTCTCTTGCAACGAGACTCCCGACGGAACGGCGAAAAGGGGGAGAAGAGAGTCTAGGCGAGGCGACAATTAGCCCTCCGCAATATGCAACCTTCCCCGACGCCGAGTTAACGGCCGAGTCGGAAAGTAAGGGTGGCAAAAGGCCGCTTAAGGACATGTCACGTGTGTTACGAGGAAATTCCATCGTCTCGTGGCTACCCCGATCGAAATTTCCTTCTGCATGCGCTTGTGCACTTTAACACCCTCGGCTTTGGCTCTCGTTGAAGCGATAAAAAGAACAAGTTTGTAATTATTGACTAAACCCCACCTAACGTTCTTCTTTTCGCAAATTTTCACAATTTTATGTCCTCCCTCGGATTAGGAAATGGAAAATCTAATCGTATCGATATCTATATTACAACAAATTTTGTTATGTATTAGCGATAATGCGTTAATTGTCGATTCGAAGGATAGTGCGTAGATAGAGAGCATCGATAGAGCGGCAGCGGACTCTGTCGGTATAAAGAGGGTAGAAGGATGGATAAGGTCGATGGGAGATAATTAGATATTGATTTCGCATTAGAGTATGCCAAGATAAACGGCTGTTCATTAATGTGACATAGCGAAGATCATCGTTCACTGGCCGTGTCATTGATACAGAAAGATCAATCGCGGATTTATGCACATTATCTCGTTCTCCTGTCTTTTTGCAATTTCGTTGATATAGGAACTTATACAAGTAAGAAAAGTCTAGATAATCTTTCTCCAATCGTACCGTTACTTGGAGCGATATTATTATTCTTTATTCGAGGAATATTTAAAGCTGTCGTACCTGAGCATAGAACCGCTTCGATTTCGGGATACTCGAGAGAGAGAGAGAGAGAGAGAGAGAGAGAGATTTCATCTACCTTTGTGTCCATCTTTTGAAGCTTTTCCGAGTGGAGAATGCAGTTAATGTAAAATGTAAAATGTAGGTATTCGCGAGGTCAAAGACCGTTGTTTGATGAGCGAACGTCCATTACTGCTTATTGCTGAATCAAAGATGTCCGTGTCTACTGTTACTTCGAGTTGGCTTTGATCTTTCTCTCTCTCATCTACCTGGCCCCGCTGTTAGTAATCTATCGTACGAGCCAGACAATACATAGAAACGTTGTTTGATTTCAAATACGTCAAACGCGTTGTGATTATTAGCGTGTTCGACGTAATTAGAGTTAAAAGATAAAAGTACTTGATAGAAATATGCCATAGAAAAGAAATAAATGTGGTCGCGTACCGAGTGAGTGGGGTCTTTGCATTTTCTACGAGTCCTAATCCACACTCGCGTAATTAATCTTTCCGTAAACGAGCATTAATTCAGGCTCCTTTAGACATAGAATCGTGCTTCGTCAATTGGCACAATGCGAGTGGCATTTTACGTCGAGATAGAATTTGGGTCGCGCTGAATGATTTACTCGTCGATCGAGGATAGAGAGTACAACGTTCCTATATTTACCAACTATAAGTATCAGGGCGCTCGTACGATGTTCGATATCTGTGTTTCCACGAATTCACTTGCCAGCCGATCGGACGGCTACGCGTCGCTTCGAAATGAACGCTTTTTGTCTATCGAAGACCTTTTCGACTCTGTAAGAAGAAGGGAAAAGGCCCTTTACGATTCGTGGAAATGCTTCTCTCTCTCTCTCTCTCTCTCTCTCTCTCTCTCGAGGACAGGAAGAGGAAAGAAAAAAGCGGACAAAGTGGCGCTTATTAAAAGTGAAGAATAAAATTCGCAGGAAATAATGGAGCTTGGTCGAGGCGAGCGAACGCTCGAAATTATCCGACTAGGAGAGTTCCAAATCCATAACGACGGAGGTCCTTCTCATAAATTGCGCTCGGCGCGTTGAAGCTTCGAATAACGAAGGTTCAAGTTGCAACGTCATTTGCTCCCATTTAACTTTGTTATTATTTCACCTCGGCTTTCGAACTATACTTGGCTCGTCCCTACGAAACATACGGTTCGCGTGCACACAGAGACATTCGATTGGCACATTATGCACTTGGGAGAAGTCGTTAGGTCTGAAAAATCGTCGCTACTTTTCGTGGAAGCACGCGTTCTAACGTATTCCACTAAAATGCGAAAAGAACGTTCGAATATCGACGTTTCGGAGAAGAAGAAGAAGAAGAAGAAGAAGAAGAAGAAAGAAAGAAAAAAAAACGACAGATCGTATATCTTGCTAGCAGTTTCGAGAACAAGTTCTTTCATCGAAGACCCTTATCGACGAGCGCCTAATTAATTATACGATGACGCCGTAGCGAGCTTAGAGAGCCTCGTAATAGATTGTTACGTTCTTCTCTTCCACGTCGTTGTCGTTGCGGTTGACGTCGACGTCTATGACGACGAGGACGCGGCTTATTATGTTATTGCACCATTTGCAAAATTTTAATGGATTCGAGAGCTTCGCCGCTCTTCTTCCTCATTCTCTCTCTCTCTCTCTCTCTCTCTCTCTCTCTTTTCTAAAAATCGATCGACGGTACGCTCTTCGTCTTTATCTCGAACATTTAGATCTTTCGTTTAACCGGTAACGGTAATCGAACAAGTTGCAAGGTTCTCGGCTTTGCAAAGTTTTCGAAGGGTGCCATGCCTTTCGGATTGGCCGAGAGTCGCGTCGTCGTCGAAAGAAAAGACACGCGTCAAAGGCCATGGTGTTATTGTGTCGCGTACTAACCCGCGCAACGAATCTTGCCACTTTCTTTTCTAAAAAATTTCACGTGGCCCAACGAGGCTACAAATAGAAACGGGGAAGATCTCTCGTCTTTTGAGAAATATTCTCATTTTTCGGCGACTTTTGGCCGAAACATAAAAAATGACGGTCGTATTCGGAAAAGAGTACATACGTTACTCGTGCCTACGTTAAATTTGTTAAAAATTGAAGATACGTATTTTTGAGCGATCGATTCTAAGAGATCGCTCGATTAAGCTCGGCTCGAGTCGAGTTCCTTCCATTTAACTCTCGATACGATTTATCTCGAGCTAATCGATTTAACGACAATAATTCAGAAAGCAATCTTATCCGGTCGACGGCACAAACGACCTTCCGTTCGTACTCGGCGCAATCCTGGCGCAATTTCTTAGCTCGACGAGAACGCAACGACGAATTGGATCTGAAAAAAAAGCGTTAGAGAAACTGGAGAGCGTCGGATAGAAGATTTAGATTTTATCTCCAGACGCAAGCAGGTTTATATAGATGTGGGTGGTCGGGAGGATAGAACTCATTGAGAATGGAACTAGTTGGATAGGTACGTTTTTCACTTACTTTCCTCCGGCCGCAGCAGAGCATGGCTGCTGCACTGCAATCGCGGCGAGCCGTAGACGAGAGTTGAGGCTGATGACAGACGTAGCTGAGTCGTGCGCCCCCTTCCCGCTGCAGCTGCACCACGCGCACCTGCAGCTGCACCTGATCCCGATCCTGCTGTCCTTGACCGACACCGACTCGACCACCGTACTTGATGCGCACGTGTTTTCGCCACTGCATGAGTTCGGTGCGTCATGCCCTCTTCCTGGATCAAAAGCGACGATGTTTTTCCTATCTATTATCTTTAATAGTCCGCCAAGGCTTTGCTGCGAAGATGGAGATTTGAACGAACGGGTTAGCGGGACGATTAGTTCGAGTCGAGCGCGGCCCCGCGGAGCGCGAAGGATACTCGAAAGTCGTTGCTCGAGTTGCTTTCGCGCGCGATTGTATGTGTGCGTGCGTGTGTGGACGATAATTGGAATTTAATTCGAATCGAAGCCAATACCGGCTACTCGAACTTTTCGCGTCTTGAAGGAGTTATCTCGTGCCGCAAATACTACAAATTCCACGCTCGAGGTACTCGATGGGTCTCGTTCATATTCCGAGCGATCGCGATAACACCGTTTAATATCGATTACTCGCGATTAGTTTCCAAGATTTCGTTTGATCTTTGTCAATATTGAGATTACCAATATTCATCGAGGATTCATCGTTGATTCATATTTTTCTTTTCGCCTATTCCCCAAGTGCCTGGACGATATCATACATATTTTATCATTTAACATTTTCACGAATCCGATTAACCCACTTTCCATTCTTCGTTCGATATCTGATAGGTTAATTCGCTAATGGATGACCCGTTTTGATCGAAAATCGATCGAACGATACGGACCACTCTGATTTATTTTTTCTTCTTTCGGACGATCACAATGTACGTAAACGACGAGTGTGCTACGATCGTATGCTACGTGCGATTCCATTTTCATGAGAATAAACGTAGGACGATCGATCGCAAATATTACCTTACCTAGAATCATTGATCTTTATATTTAAATACACGTCTATAGATAATACCGTGTCGGATTATGCGATAAGTCGTTAATACGTCAGTATCGTAAACTTCGTAAACTTAAGTAAAGGAAGTAGTACGTCGCGATCTTGATGCGCGCGTTGAAAGATATTTATATTTTTCTCATCCTATCGTAAAGACGAATTGGTTCCCTTTGTTTGGTTGTAATAACTTCGACAGTAATAATATGAATCTTATCCGTAGGCAATGTCGTCGGGACGGAAAAATTCTGCATCGTACTTTTCTCTGTCATCGAGTGCAAAGATAATACAATGCGATACGACGGAGAGAGGTAAATGCCAGGACGAATAGAAAAAGTCGAGTTCCAATTCGCGATACTCGGGAAGGACGCGGTGTAAAAAATGACGTGCAAAAAATCATACATGTAAAAAGGGGAAAAAGATAGATGATCTTATTCGACTATATGTAAACTATATCGTTATCGTACGCGTTTAGTTGCAATAAAACTCTGGATCGTGCATCTATCCAAGGTAATCGATAAGATTTCATCCAATCCAATTTTAAACGCGTTATATCCGATGCACGAGCCATCCATGGGATAGATTTCGAGAAGGTGTCGTGCGGAGAACTGTCTTGAAAAGTTGACCATTAAAAAATATAAAATAATGGAAAGTAGGTGAGCGTACAATAGGAAAAACTAGGATGAATGGTGTATCATGTTTCGTAGGAGACATTGAAAAGAGGGATTCAAGTAAATAGGGATTAAATTTATTTCTGAAAATATACGGCCGAAAGTAATCGTTAATAACAGATCATAGTGTCGTAGACACGGCTAATAATCGATCATGCATAATCAAGAATAATTCGGATAATTACATATTTCCAGAGTGATCGACCAACAACGATTAATTACTCTGGGCAAGCGTAGATAAATGAATAAGGTAAGAGATCCAATTGTAATATGTATAAAATAATCGTGTACCTTCTAAAAAGCATTTCTCGCGTGAAGGACCGATGTGTCGCTGCACGACCAGTGTTTCACAGATTCTTTCATTCTTGTCCACGTGTCAAGCTCTCTTCTCCTAAGCACAAGAGAAAATGACAGGATTAGAGCGATATACTTCCGCGCGAGCACCAATCGATAGTATCACGCGTCGTACATAGAGCGGGTATACGCGGGGATATGTAGGGCCTTATCGGACGTCAAATTTCGCGTCTCGCGAGGGGGCAGTTGGGAAGGAAAAAAGAAAAAAAAGAAAAGAAGAGAAAAAAAAGAGAGAAAAAAGAGGAGAAAAGGGGGGAACAAATGAAAGAAAAAAGAAAAGGAAAAATTTAAAAGAGCGTCAGGCCGAAAAGGAAGGAGAGAAGTTTTATTACGTGTCCACGTGTTACACTTTTCACTACTTTTTCTCTACGACCAATCAACACGTGTCTCGCGTACACCTCCGCACAGTCTCCAAATCCAGCTCCTCCTCTCCTTCCCCCTCCCCTTCCTTTCTTTCTCCTCTCGTAAAGTTTTCTACGGAGCGACGCGACGTGGCTCTCATCGAATTCTCCAACTCCCCCCTTCTTTTTTCACTACTCGTACGATACTGGAGACGCGACTATTTGATCGATCATCGAGGAATAAGGAACTAACGACGGCGCTTTTAAAAGGCAAGAAAAGCAAAAAGAGCGAGATTATTCTTAATGACGAGTCCTCGCATCGTTCGAGTTCCCGCACGAGGATCAATATCACGTGTATTATTGTAAGAACGTACGAGTATCGTGAACGTACTCGATCTTGAAAGGGGCTCTCGTAGAAAGGGAAGAAAGATTTGTCCGTACGCTCGTATCGTAAGCAAATGGAGCCGTTCTTCGATCGATAAGAGATACGGGAGCTTAAGAGAACCCACCGGCAGCAGCAGCAGCAGCAGCAGCAGCAGCAGCAGCAGCAGCAGCAGCAGCAGCAGCAGCAGAAGTAGTAGCGGAATTATTAGCACCGTCGGTGCCGACAGAACACCAGTAACAGTGGCTACCCCGATATATTAATTGTTAGCGGCCTTTCAAGGAACGCGCACGTTTCCGTTCCTTCTTGCCGCGAGCGCGGAAAAACGAATGAAAGGGTAAGAAGGAGGAAGAGAGGGCAAATACGAAGGAAGGAAAAGGAAAGAGAGGTGGATGGGGAAAAGCAGAGCAGAGCCACCAGCACGGAATCGTGGTGGCGTGCCAGCCGATGGTCCCGGACCAACCGATCGATATACCCTTTTTTCGAGAGTAGCTTCCACCATCTTCCCTCTCGCTCCCACCGAACCGCCCTCTCATCCATCTCTATCTCTTTTTGTTCTCACTTCAAAGAACACGCGTATAAACGTAAAAACGTAGAGCGATCGAAGCGATGCGCGTGCTCGAACAAGACCACGTTCGTTTTTCCTTCGTTTACTCGTTCGTTCGTTCGTTCGTTCGTTCGTTCGTTCGTTCGTTCGTTCGGTCGGTCGGTCGGTCGGTCGGTCGGTCGGTCGGTCGGTCGGTCGATCGATTGGTTGGTCGGTCGGTCGGTCGGTCGGTCGGTCGGTCGGTCGGTCGGTCGGTCGGTCGATCGGTCGGTCGATTGGTCGTTCGATCGCTCGTTTACGCGCAATCACGAAAGAGGAGGGTTCGTTGGGTTATAAGCATAAGGATCTTAAACGTACCTTCCGGAGAATCTCGTGAGAGAGTTGGCGATCGTACGTTCCTCGGTGCAAATAGCCGACTCGATTGATTCCAATTATGAGATACTTTTACTCCCTCTTTCTCTTCAACGTTTCTCCTTGTCGGCGAAGGAAGCAGAAGGAATCTTCCGTTCGCAGCTTTCTCACCTCGCCGTATAACGCCACGCGGGAATCAATACGCCCGCCTGCCTCGAGTAGTCTCTCTCGCTCGCCTTTCCCACCCGCTCGCCCAGCCCTCTCACTCACCCCCTCTCCTTTTATATCCTTCTCTCTCTTTCCCTTACTCTCACCCTCGCTCTCTATCTTCTCCTTCTCGTCTTCACTATTTAACCGTATAGCCGGTGAGCACTGCTCTCTCTCTCTCTTTCTCTCTCTCTCTCTCTCTCTCTCTCTCTCTCTCTCTCTCTCTCTCTCTCACATCTATGTATGCCAGTCTACTTATGCGATCCTCTCTCTATGTTGCCTCTTACGCCAAAGACCATGATATTTGTAGAGATTCCTGCGAAGAAAAGATGTGGAAAAGAAATGTTGATGGATTAATTAATGTTGCGAGCGCGAAAGATAGAGATAAAAGAATGCAAGACGACGCGACGGCAAAGAAGCACTTTTGACGAGGACGTCGAAGCGGCTCGAACTAAGACGGGGTGGAAATTGGGATTCGAGCCGACCCTGTGCAACGCGCCGCGCCGCGTAAGCACGACTACCCTATACCGACTCTAGTCAGTCACCGAGACGGACATGTTGGATGTCGGGAGTGCGCATGCCGACGCCGGCGTACGCGGCTCCTTTATCGCGGGACGTGGACAACGGACGAGAAGGAGGATGTCGACGACGACGACGACGACGACGACGAGAAACGAAACGATCAACCCAACTCGCCCGTTCTCTCAACTTTAATTCCATTGAAAGATAGCATATATATAAGATACGCGTTAATATAGCAACGTAAGTACGTACGTTTTCGCTTGATCCCACAAGCAACCATTCGCCCTTACAACGTTTTTGCATCCTTTCGTTACAAGCAATAATCTCTCCTTTGTGTCTTCCTCCCTGTCTAAAGGCTTAAGATAAAATATAGACCTACTTACCATTTATATGGTACATGCTCGTGTACGTTTCTTCGCGTTTATCCAAGGATTTCGGCGAGTAGAATTCGTTTTTCTGGTCGTTCGATCGATCCCTTCGATCGCATTCGAACGGACAGGATAATTTCGTTTTCTAGACCAAGGGCTTCTTCGATGACACTCCTCGTTCTATATGAGAATAAATCCAAACTCGAGTCTTTAAATCTTTCCTTTGATCTAGCTGTGACTTTACGAATCCTTTCTGTCTATCTCGAGTGTCTTAACATTCGACAAGGGTTTCTATCCTCCTCAAAAAGGAGAATCACAATCAGAGGTCAATTGTCGCGCGTTGATTACGAGAGACTGCTCGTCGACGCACCAGAAGACGTCCTGGAGGACTGTGGCAAAGATTGGAGGCAAAGATTGGTCGGCTTTGTAAACGACAGCGTTACGTATCTCTTACGATTAAGATTACGCTTAAGGAAATCGATCTACCTGCTACGAACGTTGTATCGATAAATATTTTTTTCTTCCGTTTTTATCTTTTATATTATATTTCCCACTTCACGTTATAAATTAACATACCCATACTTGAATGTTTTAGTCCATCTCGGTTATGATATGAAAAACGGATAAAGAGGTTCCGTTCGATTCGCGAATATAAAACAAAAATGAAAAGAAAATATAAATGACATACGCTAATGACATTATATGTATGTTTCAAGACAACAGGTGTACGATTCCAAACGGAAGAAAAAAATTGCAATTCTAACGCGTAACAACTATGACGAGGCGACGATTTGAATGAATGCCAGACGGCGGCTTTCACAATTCCTTTTCAATTTCTTCCTTTCATACCTATATGTCCTAAGCCTTCGAAAAGCAACAAGGGTTGTTACTCTCGAGCCGAGCATTACCACGGCGAAGCGTTCGTGCGTGACCGACCGGGTCTACTTGTGCGCGGGCCAACTCGCATTCCTGATTCCTGATCGATCGTCGTAGATCGTAGATCGAAGCCATCGTTCGTTTTGCTTTTTGGAAGAAATCTATTTAGATTTCTCGCGAAGCCCATGGACCTCGGTTATTATCCCTCCTTATGGAGCGCGATCCGCGTACGTATCGCGAATATTCCTGTAATGTACGTAAATCGATCTTCGCGAAACGGGCCAAAGGGGTGTGCGCGGCTTCGCATGCGAACCGACGTACTACGAAATACTACGTTCTGTGATGCGGTGCAATTAAGCCCGCGTCACCCCGTACCACCGTAAGCCCTTCCGCGCCCTGCCCTCGGTCCGCGTTCTCTTTTACCGCCCCCTACCGTTCGTTTATTCATTCGCCCATTCATCGGAGCACCGGCTTTAAAGTACGCTGCGCTTTTGCGAACCGATCGCGTCTAATCGATGCGCGCGCGCGCGCGCGATGTAATTATATTAGATGTTATTATATTACATCTTCTTAAGAAATACCATATAATAGATATAAGAAAGGATCGTCACTTAACTTTTTCGTTCTTCTTTAGGGCCGCCGCGACCTAATGACAGAGTGTAGTTCCGTACCGGTACACCGACGAGTACACGAGAGTACAGACTTATCTCCATTCGTTGAAATCCCACCGATTATTATTCCTTGCAGTTATGGCCAAACGAAATTTCTCGAAATTTCTTCTCGCGTAACCTATATGAACGAGAAAATTTCCTTTTCACGTCATTATGCATTTACATGGTAATAGTAGGACTCCGTTAATGCGTTTCTCAACGAACCAATAGGCTACTTGTTGAATCACCGTTGCACTTTGTTCGTAAGAAGACTCTCGGACGTAAAATGAAACGACAACATAGCTGCGTACCGTTACGATTATATATCACCTTATGCACGGTTACCATATGGCGATACCACACGAAAGTCTAACTTACCGTCGGTCGATATAGCACACATTCCCTTTACCTTTTGATATCCGAATCGAAAACTAACCCTGTTCACGTTGGTCGTTAGTTTTTCCATAGGTTCTTATTAACGCTCATCTCCTCCTCCGTCATGCGTATGTATATATTATTTTTATCGATCCTCCCGTTTTCGATCACGATATTCGACATTTTTATTAATCGCAAGAGACGAAACGTCTCTAAGTCGTCGTATATTATCTGCAAATTAATTGCCGATTAAAAGGATTTAATATTATGATTAAAAGATCTTTCAGATATCGATGATAGAACGAGCGCGTCCTTAACCTGTCGTCGACAAGATTTAACGAATGAATAGAAAAATGCGACCACAAAAATTTACACTTCCAATTGACGCTGGCAGGTAAATCTAATATAAATTAGTTATAAAATAGGCATTACGATATAACGATTTATAACATTTTAGTTTTTCACATGCAAATAAAAAGGTCGTTATTGTGTCTGTATTTGGTAAATCCCAATATCGTATGAAAGGATGTAAAACGGATATGTTAAGTTCAATCCTCCAAGTGGACCTTTTGAATGAGCCGAATGTAGATGAAACATCTATGGTAATTATATTTTGTCCTATAAAATAAATTGACCTGAATAATATAAACCAAGAGATCATTTAAGATAATTGAATAAAGGTGCGTTGTAATAAAATATTTCAATATGAAATAAAAATTTCAGTGCGAAATCGAAGGATATCATAATGTTAAAGACAAAACCGTCTATCTACATTTACGGGGATTCTTGGATTCTCATACTCTTTTGACCGAATACGATAGATTCGTAGAAAGACAAGATTGCAAAGACTTTCTCAGTGTGTGGGCGCACATGAGATACAAATATGCTAGAGCTTTGCTGGTGTTATTTCATATATCTCACGTTATAATACTTACTCATCCGACTCATACGTTTGATTACAGTTATATACATCTATTTCGTGCCATGGATATAGTACGGTAAGACACATCCTCCCGATCGATATTATTACCATAGAACAAAATTTAGATTAAGCGTATAATAACGATTAAAGCTCTGTTTGACCAACGAAAAATTATTTCCTTTTTCTATAGGCAAAAAATTTCTCCTCAGCTTTCGGACGTATTGAGTAGTATATCTGGTATACCAAAAGATTGGATATCGAATGCTAGACCTTGTTCTCCGAGGGTATTATTCTATTTTGAAAGCTGTCCCATACCTATGGTACTTCAGGATGCAGATAACGGAGGAAATATTAAAAAATTGGAACATTCCTTGGAAGATCAGATTTATCATGTATTGAGAAAAAATAGAATAGTCACGAATATTAGGTAAGCGGATTGGCATTCTATTTTCTTTTTTTCTTTTCTTCCTTCCATTTCTTTTCTATTCATTTGTCTATCTATTTTTCCTCTTTCTCCTTTTTTTGTTTTAGTTCAAACTCGCTATTTGCAATACCAGCGAATCAAGAATTTGTATATGTACATAATGGTCCTACTGAATCTAGAGATATTTTGGGCTACATGATGAAAAAATTAATTCAAAGCTGTAAAGTTAGTTCTGGTGGTAATACGTCAAGAAGTCTCGCTAGTTTAGATACAAATCTTGAAACGGATGACACCGAGATTGGTGTATGGTCTTTCTAATTTATTATTTGCCCATGCACATATGCGCATAATGCGTTATAAGGGAAATAATCATTTGATTGATTTCAGAAACACGTTCCTTTAAATCGTTCCTGCAGCAACATATAAATCTTGCTTTTGGCAGAGGCTTCGACGACAACGTTGGTAGACATTCGGTACCGGCTTACTTCGAGGTTGCTACGAATTTTATATTAATCATAATGATCATATTTTGTTAAAGAGGACAAAAGGAGAAAACAAAAAAAAAAGAACAAAAGAAAGTTAATATTTATTTATTTTTCAATAGATACCTACGTTATCGTTATTCTGCAATGTGGCAAACAAAATTTTGGAATACTTTATAAAAGGAATAGACAAAGAATTACTATCTTTGCATAGTTTATTGGATACCGATGTTAAATTCAGTAAAAGTAGATGTAGTAAAGTACTCCCAAGAGCCTTACAAACTTATCAAGAGAACCTTCCGCAACATTACACAAGGTAATTACATTCGTAATAATATATAAATCAAATGCGACGATTATAATAGTTGTGCGTGAAAGAGGACTAAACCCAACTAAAAAGTAATTCTATACATAGAAACCCGGTGTTTTATTTAGAGCATATCATGAATCGAAATTGGCACATGCTATGGCAGTTTTTGAAATGCATGCACGAGGTCCACTGTTTGAAGAATTTAGTGAAAAATTGCAAGCAGAATGTGATAAACATTGGCGAACCGGACGACAAATGTGTGAGGTATTATCATTAACTGGGAACCCTTGCACAAATCCAATTCATAAAGGAGGGAGCGAAGGTGCTGGTGGTGGCGAACAACTTGAACCAGGAGGAGATAATAGGTAAGCGTAAATTTATAATGCTTTTCCTTTCCCTTTCTTACGCCTTCTTATATATAGTACTATTTCTTTTATATTATATGAAATGAATTGACAATACACCATCCAATCCGATCCAATTTACAGTGAATTACCGATCATGGAGCACTGCAGCGGAGTTCGATATATATGTGCCTGTAATTGTGGAAGATGTCAAGGACCACGAGAGGATCCTTTTGGGTTGCGACAGGCCAATTACGATTATTTTCAAATGTTAGCAAAGCAATGTGGCTGTGCACAATTGGAAAGTATACAATTTCCTATTTTTCAACCCAGTACACATAATTTCAGGTAAACCGATAATGCATATGTTTTACCTATCAATAAATGATATTATAAGAAGGTCTCTTGTCTCATAATATTATCTTTTATTTTCTTAGAGCGGCACAATTATTTTCAGGAACAAAACGTAAAGATTCCCTTAGTAGGACTAATTTATCCACACCTCAAGGTCAGACGCAACCTTGCAGTCTTGGGGTTGAAAATACTTTAAATGGTAATTATGACAATGGTATAATATGAATTAAAATTTTTAAGGACGAAATTTTAATAAATTGACAAACATCTTTCAAGTTCTTTCCTTTTTCTTCTTATAATATTACAAGACGACATAACGGCGTATGAAAGTGGTGCACCCTCTCCATTGAAAAGTGATCCCACGGAAGAGGATGTTCCGAGATTGAGTAACAAAACGAGTCTTACTCCTAGCGACGGGCACAAAGTCGTTATAGAAGTTTCCGATGATGCAGAAAATACCAAAGGTAGTAGTTTACTTAAGAAATACATAACACATATAATTGACAAACTATACGCGATATATCAGAAAAGTCTTTGGTGAGACAACCATCAACGACGGAATATCTGCCAGGGATGTTACATACGGAATCTCCAGCTGGATTATTACCGCAATTTTCTAGCTGGTCTCTGGTTTGTCTTGGCCCAAGCAGTTTGTACTCACATAATTTGGGCTTGCAACATCAGGCAGGTGTATTGCCAACTTCTGCATTTCTTTTGCCATGGGATGTGACAGTAAGGTTTGTGTTGGAAAGAAGAGAAAAAAAAAAAGAATATAACAAATTATTGCATTATGTTACGTTGATATATGAAAATACTATTAAATAATGCATGAAAGATTTCATTTCATTAGATTAGAGCATCAAAAGGAAAGGGGATCTTTGTGGCCTACTATAAATGATCATGGCGTTCACGGATATTGTCCAAGAGGTAAAAATTTTCAAAATCTTAATACGATCCGAGGTAGAAAATCCAAAAGTGGGAAGGAATTTGTTGTTAAGATATTTGTTGGTGTCGAATACGAATGTCCGAGAGGCCATAGATTTATGGCATCTGCGCCTGACAAAGTTTTAAAGGCAACCGGTAATGGGATCGTAAAGGATAGCGGAAATAAAGTAACATCCAGTACCACAGATATGCCTCTTTACTTTCCATGTCCGTGCAGGTATATTGTATTTAACGTAAACAAACTTTATATTATAGACTTTAAAATAATCAATAATAAATACAATATGTATGTATGTATGTATGTATGTATTTATTTTTGCAGGCAGGCACAACCTTTGATAGCTCAACTTATGAGAATTCATGTGGTTACTCCAAAGGCACCGGTTCACGTTACATTAAATCCTCGAGTTCAACCGGGACCTCCACCGTGTCCCATATTTGTAACCGGTTGTGAAGAACCGATCAAACTTTCGCAAAGTGCTTATTGGGTTCTGAGATTACCGTATCCTTCAAAAGCCATAAATACTTTTGCGCATCTTACATTAAATTCTTTTCAATAGATATATATGTATATATATATATATATATATAATATAAACCTTAACCTGTTTATATGTACATAGTTATGTATATATGGGTGAGAAGGGCCCATATTTACCACCAAAGGAACCAGTACCCCCTTCTCATGGACGATTACTAGCTGGGATGTATGGTATCAGCGAAGTTGTGCCAGAAAAGAAATAAGATTTCTTAATAAATCATTTCTCAGAATATTCAACAATATTAAAGAATTCTTCTAAAGAGATTATCTTATAATAAAGGTAATTCGATGATACTAGGGATCGTGTAATGATTTAGATGCATTAATAACGAAGCATTTAATGTTCCTGAGGAATATAAGTATCATATATTAGATATATCATAATATTATGTAATACCAGTATATGTCAGTTAATGTAACATTACAATAGACTAAGCGATCGTTGTACAATCTTTTATCGAATTAATAACAAAGCGATAAAAAATAAAACTTAATGAAGCGCATATAATATATAATGATAATGTAAGATAATGTATTAGGATATTTATATATTTTATTTTCAATCCTCGGCTACATTAACTCTCTCTTCTTCTTTATTCTTAATATCTATAATGACCTGCAAATGAAGAATTTTAAACGCATTTCGTATAAAACCCACAAATATTTTTTATAAAACAAATAAGATATGAAAAAATTTATTTAAGCACTCGCCTTTGCAGAAGTTTTTCCCTCGGAGGAAAAACGTAAAGCCTCGTTGACTTTGTACAGGCCAAAAATCATAGAATGAATTGGAATAATGAGACCCTCTTCGTAAAAATCTAATACTTCTTCTCCGGCTTGCCTATATAATTGCACTGTAAGTTTTATTGCGCGCGTTTCTAACTTAATCGTTTTTTTTTTCTTTTTTTCTATGTACGTGTCTAACAAAAAATGCTAATACCATTATTGCATATGGAATAGTTAATTAATAAGGATACTTTTATTTATATCAGAGTCGCGATAGAGAATAGCTTTATATCTTCGATATAAAACGAATAAAATGTACCGCTATGCGATCTTATCGTTTCTACGAGCATTACGACGTCTTGAAAAACTTAATAGCAGACAATGGGAATATATTTTATATGGAATCTGAAATAACATATAACTTGCCGATAGCTATCTGGATCCTTCTTCCTGTATTCATTGAGATTAAAACCGGTGATACTGAAAGAGCCTGGTTCAATCTTCGATTGTACATCTTGCGTCTTAACAGCAGCAGCGCCAGCGATTACTACGCGCCCTTCATGAGAGATGCTATAATAAACGATCTTATGCTCATAAATAAATATTAGATATTGAATTTTATACCTTCACGAGATAAATGATGTATCGCCACGGTAAAATTATCGTCGCGCAGTAAATTTTTCAATGATGTCCCGCTTTTATATATATCAGTGTAACTAAAATTATTCATTTTCTTTTCGATAAATATGTTTTTGAAATAGCAATAACATTGGAAAAGAAGTATAATTATTGAAAATATCAGGGATATTGTACCATTTTAAAACTTTCTTAAAATATTCACCGCCATCTCCATCAAAAACAGCCTTAATGCCTTTATCGCCGGCAATTTCTTCTATGGACTTTAACAAGTCTCGTTCATTGTATGCCAAGGACGCAAATACACCCCTATTACGAACAAGAACAGCGTCGTCGTTATTGACACATATACCAATTACCTGAAGTTAAAAATGATATATTTTATTTTACGGAAATCAATTGTGGAAGAATAAAATGTTAGGGAATAAATATTACCTGCGATCTAAATACATTGGTTGCAAGATCAATAGTCGCCAGGCCTATGCCGCTTAAGCCCACATTTACTAAAATCATATCATTTTCATCTATAGTCACTACTCTTTCCAATGCGATAAGGGCGCTCATATAATCGTTAAGAAGACATACGGCATCCAACGATTTAACATTTGATGGTATTTTCCAAATATCCTCAAATGAAAAAATACGTTTATTAGATTGACATTATTGGATTAAAAATTTTCTTTCGACGATGCATACGTACGGTGACTTCTGCCACGCATTGTTCCGCAAAACCTCCATATCGTTCTTTATTAAGTGCTATAACCTTGTCCCCAATTTTATACCCTTTGTCTTGCGCATCCTTCCCTACGTAAACTAATTCACCGATTAGCTCATATCCAAGCGTAATAGGCAATTTTGGTTCGTAAACGTACAAGTTTTTACTCAATAATACATCAGAAGGATTTACAGTGCAGTAACGAACGTCTATAATAACCTATTGGAATAATGTAGGAAGCCTTTAAGAAATATGACACATGAGTGTGTGTGTGTGTGTGTGTGTGTGCGTGTGTGCGTGTGCGTATATATATATATATATATATATATAATACGCGAAGAGAGTGTGAATAAAAAACTTCGTGTGAAGGAGAATTACTTCGTTTGGTTGAGCCGTTTTCAATGATTCTAGATTTTGTATAATCAATGAATTATCGAACTTATTCAAGGTCGCTGCTTGAAATTTACCCGCTTCAGGAGCCGGAATATTAGTTTTGCAACTGTCATCGGTTGGTTTTTCTTTAGTGAGAGTTCCATTAGTTCTTACACTAAAACTTTGGCTCATTAAACTTTTCCAATAATTTCTAGGTACGCGAGAGAAAAATACTCGTCGAATCGTGACGGACATTCTTGAAATAGCTTCTATATAAGTTAAAAGAAAACGAGAAAATGTAAATGTAAAATATCACAAATATAACCTAAAAAAGCGTAATCTAAAAATTAAAAAATTTAATTTCCCGATTCATATATACGTACATACTCACTCTAATAAATAATCGCCCCGTATTAATATTACGGGGAGGATATATAAATATATAAATAATAAATGGTTAATTTCTTTTTTCTTTCTCACATATAACCGCACGTATTACATGTTATTCCATTTAAACGTCAACACACTCGATCTACTCGCCATCTGACGGAGAAAAAGTACATTTTTAAAATGGTCACATATATGACCGATACTTTTGTTTGCGTTAACGCTTAATATTAAACTTTGTAAATCAATAAAATTAAAGTTTTTCAATCGGTTTGAAAAATATATTTTTGCCATAAATTTATAAAATAATTAACAAATTTGAGGTGTACAGCTGATTGATATAAAAATATCGTTATTTAATCGATAAACTTTTTCTATCTAAATTTTTCTATTACTTAAATGTTAAAATTTAGAATAATGTATGGGTGTGCGCGTGTGTATAAAACTCATTCGTACACAATTTACAAACTGTTAATCATAATGCTAAAATTATAGAATACTCCTTTATTATAGGTGTAAATTATTGTATCCAAGTATATCAGATTGTACGTAAAATTATATTAATTTTATTAAGGCACTTTTTTAAAAGGATTAAACTAAAATAGTATATCTACCTCTTAAATATTATATTAATTTTGTTATCTTGGGGTATAACAGAAGCATTTCTTACTGACAACTTATATCTGCTCTAATCGTAGATTATAAAATTACTTAAGCATTCATCCAATTTCAACATACATTGTATAATATACATAAAAGTAATGAGTATTTTGCTTTTATATCTTATGTAAAAATCAAATAAAAATTGTAAAATGTAGATCATTAACTTTGTATACGTACATGTCTTAAGCGCATTTGTCAAAATGTATTATAATAAATAAGAAACATATCACTAACCTTGTATCGTGGCACATTCCTATAAACTACATTTAATTAAGTTAACAAGATAAGGAACATACGAAATACCTTATTGTTTACTATTATATCGATTAATAAATATAACTATATAAAAGTATTATTTTTATTAAAATATATTAGTCGCTTATAATGGATGTGCCAGTAGAATGACGAGAACAGAACTCACGACCGACGGTTGCAAACAAACGGCATCTCTTCCCGCCTCGCGTTAATCCATTACATAACATACGTGGTACTGGGCTACCGCTACACGGGACACAAATGGTTACATTAAATATGCATATATATATATATATATATATAGAGTATATAGTATACATGCGCTCTCGCGTATCATTAATCCGACAAATGTGTATACCTAAGTATGTTATAAAAATTTACCTCCTGGATGAGCTTAGAGATGAATTTTTGTCTTCAGTCGTAGCAACAAACTCCCTTACTCCTTTTAAGCGATATCTGAGATCGTTTCTATTCATGAAATTATTTACATCATCAGTAATATTATAGCTATTGTCAAATTTGTTAGGTATATCTTCCGGTGAAATATCGTCAGACATGTCAGGATAATCGTAGTTATAGACATCATCGTGCGACTTTTTTGCCGGTATATACGAACAAGAAAGCTGCTCTTGTACAGACATATTTTGTCGACTCCACAAAGCTACCGATTGAATCAAATTTATGGTTTTTTCTATAACAGTAGAAATATATGACATATTATAAACCTTTTCAATTAATTATGAGATAATAGATATGAACAAAAGGATTATTAGAAATATTATAGAAATAAAAGCAAACCTTTTAAACTATTTATTTTATTAAGTATAGTAATGGAAAAATTCCAAACTGTCTTTGTTATTACGGAGCAGGTGAATGCTGTTTGAATGGAATTGGAATCAGAAGGTGATGCATAGATACGAGCATTACCATTGGATAACCCATTAATCGATCTTACTGATTCAGGATTTTGAAATTTGGATCTACAAATATATTGTATGCCATTCATTAAAAAATGCACTAGAACAAAAATGTAGCATTACAACATTATAATGATGATGAATTATTTACAAAAAATATATATATATATATATATATATATATATATATATATATATATATCTATGTGCGCGCGTGTTTCTTTCTTTCTAAGTTTCTTACTTACTCATTGTTATCAAAAATATTAATGCTGTGATAGAAGGGAAATCAAGGCAAGCGTCCAAGCCATGTTTCAGATAAGAACAAAGATTTAAAGGTACAATGCCCATTATAGCCGCTCTGGTCCAAAACGGTGCATTCAGAAATGCAGCAGTTATCATGGCAATTAATAGATATAAAATATGCAAAACTGTGCGATAAACTTTTTGTAATTGTTCCCCTGAAAAAAGCATTTCGAATTGTTCTATAGTTAAACATTAATAGAAATGTGGTGATCAATATTATCATATAATGGGAAATTATTACATACCAGTATCCCCGATGTAATCTGTAATCCAATCGAGTTGATGAATGTTCTGTTCTATTTCTGTACGGATTTTATTGGTCACATTGGAGATAAACTGAATAGTATCATTAATACGTGTCAACTTTTCCATCATTTGTTCATACTGATTGGCAGCTTCCTGATGCTGATCAAGTATAAGGCTAGTACTAGATTCTACCTTTTCCCAAATTAATTCTACTTGATTTTGTATATTTGTTAAGTCATCTAATATTTCCTTATGACTTTCTCCACGTACTGTAGATTGTTTAACAAGTTCTTCGGTTGCCTTCTCTTTAAAATATGGTCATTTAAAGACAAACTTATAAATTTATTATTATTTCATCGATTGTATTATGTAAAAAAAAAAATGAAAATAATTAGAATATTTACCTAATTTCCCTTTCACGTCTTCGACCATGGTCGCAAGCTGAGAGTGACCTAGGCGGATCAATGCCTTTTCGTTATTTAAATTTCTAAGATTAGTAGTTACCAATTTGTGAGCACTCGTTTGAGCATCCTTTAGATTTTGTTGTTGTAATAATAATGCCTTATTGCTGTCCGACAACGAGGATAACGCCTCGCTTGTCCGATCCATCAAATGATCCTGACTTTCCTTTTTTAATTATAAATCAGAAAACATATTAATCGTACACTTTTTAATCGTACAAAAAGTCTTTTACTTATGCGCACCTTCAAGGATATTAACGTTTTAATTTGCGAATGTGCAGTTTGCATCAATTTATTGACCGTTAATTCGGTTAGAGCACGAAATTGTGTACTTCGGGCCGCATAACAAACTGCTCGAGCCCTATTACTCATCAAATGATATGCATTCCACATATCCGCATCCATATCCGTGGTGCATTGTTTAAGGGACTAAAGAAAAACATAGAATAACTTTAAATATCTTACTTGTATAAGATTTCTGAAGGCACCAATTTTGCTTGTATGTAGAAAAAAAAAGGGAAAAGAAATAAATGAATGTATCATCAATATTAATTTCACTAATATAATATAGGAAGAAATAGACTAATAGATGGGAGAGAAATGGGCTTATATAAGGATACTATACTCCATACTGTGTCAACTAAAAAATATCTCTGAGGTGGTCCCTGTATATTTAAAATGGGAGGGGGAACTTGCAGGTTTGAACTTGCATAAGAACACCCTACGTATACTGTTACCACCATGCTAAGCTATTGGTTAAAACTAAATTATTGAAGTATTTTTTCAAGTATATTTCTAAGTAGTCAATAACGTAGAAAATAATTATTAAGTAATTGAAAGAAAGTATTGAGAGAAAAATGAAAAGAAAATTTTTACCATCTCTTCTGTACAGGGAAACATTTTTCTTCCTTCTACTGCTGATTGACAATTCAATAAATTGACGCTCAATTTGGCAAGCTGCTCTTCGGTCATATCGTAGCAGGAAGTTCTTATTTTCATAATTACTTTATGCTGACACGTTTCTAAAGGGGATGAAACTTGAATATCTGTAAACTTTGCAGCTTCTTGTAGAAACTTTTCATCTTCCGTCATAGCTTCATACGGTATTGATATCAAAGGTACACCATCGGCAACCAAAACGTTTGTATCATCGGTATATGTACCCCATAACCAGTTAAATAGTCTTACGGAATTTGCTTGATTTAATATTAACGTCAACATAAAAATCCACAAATATAAATTTGCCATTTTCCAATAATAATATCTGTAAAATTACATATCAAGAGCAAAGGGTAATTTGAAAATTATACCTTACTAATACACGAGATTAAAAGACTTGTAAATAAATAGTACATATTAGTTAAATTGACTATTATTTTTAAAACAAATATACAAATATATTTACCACTTTCCAATTTGTCCAACGTTTTATCTGCCGATAAGTCAGCTTAATTAATTAATTCATTAATTCAACGAATGATTACAATTGTCGATGAAAAAAAATATAAATGTCAAACGCGATGACAAAACTTATTTATTATTTATCTTTCCTTCTTTATACCCACATGCATATATATATATATATATAATATGTGTGTGTGTGTGTGTATGTACATATATATTCCGCGGCTCTGTGTCTCTAACGGTCGTAACCGTTCATAAATGCTCTTATGCTAATTTTTTGGCGGGATATGTAATACCTATTATCGAAAGAGACGAAAGAAAAGTGTATTTTGATATTTAATAAATTTACCGATATACTGTTCGATTATAATTACATAATATTTACGTAATGCTCAGAAGAAATTAATTATTATAAATAGAAAAGAAATATAGGAGAAAGTTAAATTATAGTATAGTTCGTTCTCGTTCGTTTTTGATCGCTGCAAATTGGCAACTCGTATAATTTGTAAAAATACAAAAAAGATTTAGGAGTTGACCAATCGAAGATAATAAATTTTGTATTGTCAAGACTGAAGGAAGAATAAGAAGGACTAGAAATCAGAAAAAAAAAGTACTAGACCTGAATCGATGGGGGAAAAAAAAGGTTCCAACGTTAGTCGTACCTTTTGTGTATTTCAATTAGCATACGCAGAGATGCTACGTATATAATATATCTCCCCTATGTATATAATATATATCTCGAGGAATATATATTGTTTGTAGAAATATAATAAGGATGATAACTGTTGAACGATCTTTGAAGAAACTTTGGGAATAAGCTTTAGGAATCTAAAGAAATAGGAAAATTTCCTATGAGTATGAGGTAGGAAAGAAGACGATTCGAAATCGTATCTTGCAATGCCTAGAGAAATTATCACGTTAGATCGTTTATTTTCTCTAGAACTAAATCCCTAGAACTTATTCCGTATGTTTTTATATCGTCCATCTAATTACAATCTTTGCGTTATGTAAATGAATTATTAACAATTATTAATAAATAGTTTGTATTAGATCAGATAGAAGAATTTAAAAATCCACTTTCATTTATTAGTTATGAATCTTGACTATAAATTTGTCATCACTAGTATCAATAGTATGACTAATCTGTAAGATAACCTTTTTATATGAAACATTGGCAATATTCGGGTAATTACCTATTTACTTTTCACTTTCACGATGAATTATTTTTTTATTTATAGAGTAAGCATTTTAAGTCATGTCGAGCAGCACGCGTAAGAGTTTCTCGGTAAATATAATTTTCATTGTATGGTTTAAATTTGTAAAAATAAACAACGCGCAATTTAACTGCAATAGCGATAGATGATTGCAAATCATTATTTTGATCCTTATCGTTTCAATTTATCTAATTTAAATCAAAATACTTGTAATATTTGTCAGATTATAATCATCAGTTTTTAAATATAGATATTATTAATTTATAAAAATGCGGCGATACGCTACACTTACATTTTATATTCTTCGCATAATTTATTATATTTTCTTTCTATTTTGAACAGGTGCAAATGGTTGGGAGAAAAATACAGCAAGAATATTATGAACTTCTTCCCGATTGGAATAAATATGACGTGAAAGATTTAAACATATTGCGCCAATATATTGGATATGCGCTAGGTCATTTTAATAATGAATGGGAACTTGATAAGATAGGAAATGTTGAAAGTGAATCGTATAGCGTGATGGACAACTACTATTCAGGAAATGAAGAACAGAAATCGGTTAAGTGCGATGAAGAAATGAACCGTCAAAGGGAAATGGTATCTTTAATATACAATCAAATAATAACATATGGTAGGGAGTCAGATGGGAGTATTTTCTGCGGCATTATATATAATGTCATATATGAAATACCAAAAAAGAATGAACCAATAAATTATGATACTGTTATGCACCTACCAATTTTTAAAATTAGAAATCATGACAAAATAAATTTACATTGCAATTTTTCGGAAGAATATAATATACAATATATAGACAATGATGGAAGATTATACAAAAATTGGAATGATTACTTAATGTCTAATAAATTGTTCGAATGCATTATGGTAGTACCCAAAAATGGATATTACGAAGCAGATCCTGATTTTACGATAACGGAAGAGAATTCTACGGTATTGATCGCGACTTATCTCTCGCCAGCTTGTTCGAAAAACGCCGAAATTGTTAAATACATAGATAACACGTTTAGCTTATTAAACGTTGGTGCTCTTGGGGTTACCGCTGTGTCACTCTTTACTCCTGTTGCACCTCTGGCCCTATTGGCAGGTAAATATATATAAACATTATTCGTAGCATTATTATTTGTAGAAAAATCATTTCTAGTTAAAGAAGAGAAGGTAATTCTTATTTTTCTTTCTTTTTCTTTTTTTTTTTTTTCTTTAGGATCAACAGCAACAATCTGCGGCGGTATTTGGATGGCTGGCAGATCTATATATAATTTAGTTGATCGTAAGTCACATAAACAATCTATTAGTCCCACGAACAAAAATGCCCTACCATCCTGGATCGCAGTTGCCGGATCTACAATGGGGGTGGCAATGAGCCGTGGAGGTACGATAATTTCAAAAGCTGCGCAAGCTGGTAAAAATGTTGGATTAGTTACTAAAGCAGCGTATAATACAGCAGTAATTGGTAATATGTCAGTCAATCTCGTTGGTATTGGATTCAACGGTTATTGTATCGTTAAAAAGTATCAGGAAGGTCGTAAGGTCGATGTGATCGATGTATTTTCCTTTGTAATGCATGCAATGTTTTTTGGTAATACTATATTGAATATACAATTTGCCCATGATATTATTGATAGTACTCATGGTAAGGTTCTGCAAGAGTACGAAAGCACTTTACGGAATAAACGTCATCGTAAAGCGTACAATAAAGTAAAAAATAAGGCACAATCAAGAGTGGAAATAGTACGATACATTAAGAAAGTTAAATCAAAAGCAGAACTTTTCCCTTCTAAGAGCGGTAGTCAAGCAACTGGTAGTAAACCAAGTGATGGTCAACCAAGTGGTAGTCGAGCAAATGGTAATAAACCAAATGATAGTCAACCAAGTGGTAGTCAACCAAATGGTAATAAACCAAATGGTAGTCGAGCAAATGGTACTAAACCAAGTGATGGTCAACCAAGTGGTAGTCAACCAAATGGTAATAAATCAAGTGGTGGTAAACCAAGTGGTAGTCAATCAAATGGTAATGAAACAAATGATGGGAACAAAAGTGTTCAAGAAACAAACGTTGAGGAAAAAAGTATTAATAAAACGATTAATAAATTAAAGGATAATATTCGAATAAATAGCGATACAATAAAAATGTTTGCGAAGAAGATAACAATTGTAGGAGGTAAAATATATATTGCAAATTTCATTATATTGGATCCAGTAGTATTTATAAATAACTTGAAGGAACCAAACATGAAATTTAGTGAGACCTTTTTAGCCAGTATTGATGTTTCCGTTACGCCACTCTGCGGTCAAATTTTAAGATTGTTAGCTTCTCATTGCAGTGATTATCCTTTCGTTACTAAATTAAATGCCATCCCAGAATTTAAAATGCTCCTTGTTGAGATGCAGTATATAGATGATCCGGAAAAGCTCTTAGACAAAATATTTTTGCTTTCGGTAAAGATGCTTATCAAACATTTCCAAGGTTCTAATCAGCCCATCCTACATGAAAAGGAGTTATTCGAAATAGCATATGTCTTATGGCGCTATGGGAAGGCACATGCGAAAGGAAAGCTACGAGAAAGTAATCATGAAAGAATGACGTCAGAAATATCTATTCTATATGATGTTATGTTGGATTATTTCGATACACTAGCTCCGACCTTTTTACATGCATTACGTATTTATTGGGAAAATTCCGCAAGTACAGTAACTTATACAGATAATACACGCCTTTCTTATTAATGATATATTCGAGCTAAGATACGTTATATTAATACGAAGTTATAAAAATAATAAAATAAGGTACTTTGTAAATATAGATTTATCTGTTACAAATCTATCTGTAATACGTATAATATTTGTATTTTATACATGAATTTTTTATATCCCTATTATTCTTTATCACGAAGCAAACGAAAGAGAAGATTTTTATTACGAGGAAATATGTTATATTTTGTGTATTAAGAAAAAAAGAAAAATGATATTAAATATATGACGTAAAAAGCATGAATATTATTATTATTATTATTATTATTATTATTATTATTATTATTATTATTATTATTATTATTATTATTATTATCATAGTGCGAATGGATTATAAAGTTTAGGCTGCGTCTTGCCGTGTGTTTTGTTTTGGAAGGCCTACCCTGTCCTCTTCCCCCTCCTTTCCCTCTCTACTAGAGAGTAAACGTAGACCTGCGCTGTAAGTAGAGTTTCGTTTCGGTTTCTCCGATCCAGCCGACTGGAGAGGGGATACGCGCACTTACTCTTTTCGTCAGTCACGTGGAGAAGTTAGGCGATTACGGTTCGAGTTTCGCGCCTCTCTTTTTCACTTTCCTATTATTATTTTCTTCTAAATTCTTCGACAACAAAGACTTGTGTTTCACCGATCGTGTCTCGATAGAGCCAGGAGACGTGACAAGTGTTAAGAAAAACACGTCGAGAAACGCATCTTTGAATTAGCGGACAGGGAAGCGTACTGCGTCAAATTCAAAGGTTAGTCACTTATTTCGCATTGTTCTCTTTTCTTTTTGATCATTTTTTTTTTCTTTTTTTTTTTTTTACAATATGACGCCATATTGTGAGAGTTGCCGATTATCGTCACGCTTATAACGCTTTTCCACGCATTTTTCCTTCGTTATCATTTGTCCGACGGGAAAAGGTTAATATTTCGAGCTTCCTGCGATATCGAAAAGTATGATGCTGCAGCCTCTTTATTTCGAATGTAATGATTTCGAACGAATGTACGAATTTTAAATATATCTTGTATTATATTGTATGCGCACGTAAATTGTATTCCTCTTTAATGTTTCAAGCATCATGACAATTTAGTGTTAATCAATAAGTACGATTCGAAGGAGAGAATCGAATTTTATAAAAGAATTCACATACATTTTGGGTACATTATTTATACGGACATATTTTTATTTCATTCCAGTTTAAATAAAATTTCGTCGTACGTTATATTAATAAATATAAAAATTATATTAAAAAGTATTGAATTAATACTTCGGTTTGAAGGGAATTTGAAAAATCGCTAATGTTTCCTTGGCACATCTTTCAAAGAATATACCGATTGCGGCATAACTTTACATAAATAAGATTTACCATCATTCTCGATTAGTCGGAAAAGAAAAAAGAGAAAGGGAGAGAAAGAAAAAAGAAGACGACGTCCGTCGAATATTTAGGTCATCCCGATCTGCGAAGCTTTATTTTCGTGTAAAAATCTTTTCCTTCTGGCTATCATTCGCTCGCTGGTAAGAAGCTTTTTTTTTCGGAGCATAAAGCTTCGAGAATCTTTGGGTATAACGATAGTTGCATGCGAAATTTTTACTTTGCGGCATTAAAAAAAGTTTGACGAATAAAAATATTCCTACCTACGGCACAACGTAGCTTGGGCGCGTTACTCGCAGGAATTTTTTCGTCCGACCGAAGAATTTGCGAATCGCATGTATTTGTCTATATATAGCTACATATATATATATATATATATATACACACGGTATGTACATACATCGGTACTTTGCTTCGGGGGTATCTAAAAGCACTCGTAGAAATTGATGAACGACTTTCGTGGTACTGCTGAAATACGGGCTTTTTCTCTCTCCATTCTCTGCCAACCCGATCGTGGAGGAAACAAATCAAATTTTAAACGCATCGTTCCCGTGACCGATCTTGTTAGGCCTTTTTCATCGAAATCGGATTCCTCCGTTCTTTTTCTTCTTTCAATTTACCTTGCGAGAGCTCTCTCACTCTCTCTCTCTCTCTCTCTCTCTCTCTCTCTCTCTCTCTCTCTCTCTCTCTCTCCTAGCACGATTCGGTCTGTGTATTCGCTGTCTCCCTCCTCTCAAAAAAAGAGACAAAAAGAACAAGTGTTTGCGAGATTTCATTCGTACACGAGATATATTCCGTCGTTATCGCGTGGTCATGTTGCTTTTTGTTCATAGGATATCGATCGTTTTCTTTTTCTTTTGCAAGGTTGTCGCATTGGAACGTCGTTGTTTAGCAAATTTAAAAAAGAAAAAGAAGCGTAATCGTGCGCCTTTCATTCGGATCGTCGAGATCCTGAGTTAGTGCCTATAGGCTATATCTATTTTGGATTATAAATCTTCATGAGTTAGGAAGCCGTGTGCAAACGATAATTAACAATTACGCCGGAAGTAAGAGGGCTTACGTAGAGAGAGAGAGAGAGAGAGAGAGAGAGAGAGAGAGAGAGAGAGAGATCGAGATCTTGGAAATAGTAATTTTGTAAAGCAAATTTTGTTGAAAGAATAACGATCGTGCGAGATACGCTTAGAAGAATGTTCGATTAATTCGATTAATTAGATCGTTTTAGCGTCAATGAATAAAAAAACTAAAGTCGATGAAAGATCCAATTCGAAGGCAACAATTTCCATCTCGCTGTCGTAGAAGAATCGCGATAGTTAGACAAGGTATTAGGAATCCATTGATTCGCGTTTCTATCATTCTGCCGTAGAGAGACTCGTGTCGTACCCTTGAGCTTGGCTATGCTGTATCAAATCGATGATTGAAAGTAATAGGATAGATATTAGAAACATATCTCGTGAAAAATTGAATCTATGCTGGCTCGAAGGTATAACCACGCGAAGAATTCGCCTTGTTACGAATGTAAACGTAGTTGTACGAAGGATATCAAATTAGCCATCAACGAGTTATATCTCGTCTGATCTCTAACGATAAAGCCTTCGACGATATTCGATTCCTTCTTAAATATATCTATCTAATATCCCGGTCGTTATTCTTATTATTTACAAGTAGCAGTTTTAAATAGAATTTGACCAGCCGGTTGACTAGCCATTTCTCTAGGAACACGAGTTTTCGATCGGTTTGATTCATCGATTGGTTTGAAATAATAAATGTCATATCAGATTGTTTACACGCAAGTCTGGGACTTTACTTTCGATCCTTCTTATTATTCTCTTCGGTGCGCGAATCAGATTATTTATCTGTCGCGTTCTTGAATTGAAATTATTCTTTGTTCCTCTTGCGTATAAATAGGTAAGAAATCGAAACGATTTATTTGCCTAGCTGCAAATGTCGTAGTACGAAGAAAGTAAATTTGCATAAGCATCTTGTCGCGATTCATAAACTCGTTTGCGACTCTTAAATATGTCGGAAATAAGAAATAAGGGAAAGGGACGATTGCGTCTTCTTCGCAACTTCGAAAAACGAACAAAACGAACCCAATTGAAATCGAAAGCTATTCATATAGCTTTGATCATTATCGAGCGAAGCTCGAACCGTAGAATTAGACGTTTACTGCGAGCCGAGCGCATCGTTCAAAATCACGCGTACCGCTCGTCGAGATGACGACTGGCTTGCGGATAGGGATACATCGTAATAGCAGCTAGAATCAAGTTAGAATTCAATTGTTAGGGCCATGCAATCTTATTTATTAACTTAACTTATTATTGTCCAACAATATTGGCGCGAAAGCAAACGATTCGAGATATTATTCGGCCATTACGATTCATCGAACGATTCGGTAAATTCGTGCAAGTCGCAAATAGGATGAAGGACTTTCAAGGTTACCATCGCGATACGAAGACGTATTGTCATGAGCAAACTTTCCTCGAAGACGGGAGGAACGTCGTTGCATAAGGATGAGTTGAGAGAGAGAGAGAGAGAGAGAGAAATAAAACAAAGAAGGAATGTTGTACGAAAGAGTGGAACCGAGCATATTTTCTCTTTTTCTTTTCTTCGCTTTAATCATTCTCACTCGCGAGGGAGATATTTTCCTGCGAGCGACACGTATCGTCTCATCGAAACGATCCTTACCTTCCGGAATTTTATCGGCTTTCCCATCTCTCTTTGCTCCAATGTCTTCCCGTGGATTTCTTCCTAAAATCGAAGAAAACAATTTTCTCTATTCTTTCGAGAACGGTCTTTTAACGTTATATACGACTATGTCCGCGTCGATTTATGTCTATGTACGACAATGTACACGTAAAAATACACATGCTTTTCTTTTCGTCCAAATTTCGATAAACATAAAAATACATATGTAAATACGTATAACTTCTTCTTCGTCGATAAATACGGCATGTTCAAGGAAATTAATGACATTTCTTTTATTTTATACGTAGAACATTTTCTTGCCTTGTACTTTTAAGAGAGGAAGATATACACACATAGTTTATATGTGTGCGCGTATACATATACCTACGTATGTAAATACGTAGCGCATCGAAGTTGAACAAGTTTCGAACAGTCGTACCTTACCAAGTGTTGTTTAACAATGTTTCTAGTTTACCATCGCAAATTTATTACACATATCTTTAGCCAACAACGAGACAAATCACTCCGCTTGAATCCTTATAGAATAAAAAGTCCAAACATATTCGTTCATTGATTATAAGAGAATAATCTCTGAATATTTTTCTCCCTATAATAAACTAGATACATCTAGTTTAATTATTCTACTTGTATATCTCAGGTTCTTAGAATTTGTCTTTTTTCCATTCGTTCGATTAGATATCGATTTTTTTTCATAAATTCATTTATTGCCTCCTCTTTCATTTATCTTTTATTTCCGCGATATCATTTATCGAAGGTATGCTTCTTGAAAAGGATGAAAATTAAAATCCGTCGTAAAGGAAAGAGGAACTGACTCCTTCGTCTTCACTGGCAAACAACAACAAAAACAACAACTTTATTATCGTTTTACGTAGTATGGTCCTCTTATAAAAGGAATACCTTGACCGGTTGATGAAAAGCGAATACAATTAAAGTATATATATTGGTAGGTTAATGGTACTTTGTCCATCGCTTTATTGCGTATAGCGCTTTATGACGCCGATATTACGACGACGATAGAAGGAAGATCTCGATAAAGAAACGTTCAAGTTGCGTCGTTGTCGCGATTCGTGATTCAAGGACTCGACAAAGGCGCGCGCGCGCCAGAGCGAAAGAGAGTGTTGCTTAGAAAATTTCATAAGACGCGTCTTCTTCGCTTCTCTATTGATTAGCCTACGGGGCTGCACCGTATCTTTCTTCGGCAGCCCTTCAATTATCTTTCCAGCTACTTTTTCATCTATCGAACGTCCTCGCTTATTAACTGTTACCTAACCAGACTCCCCGTTAACAGCTTTACATAACGAAATACCGGTTAGCGTGTAACAAAATCCACGACATTCTTTACAAATTCAATATCGTCGATTTAAAACGAGTCAGTTTCAATTACGATCGGAGGCACTTTCGAAATTGGATAAAAATTTCTTGAAAGATTAGATATAGGTACACCTATTCGTTTATTAATCGTAAGCAATTAGTACTCTTTTCTTTTGTGCTTCTTCTTCTTTTTCCCCCCTTTGGTCGTAACGTAATCTAGAGTCGCGAGCAGGAGAATGTACGTCTTGTAAAAAGATAAGAGATGTCGTTAGAAAGGAAAATGACGAGTCTCGATGTAATTATCTTTGCTTACTTCCTATCCCCCCCCCCCCCCCCCGGCACGATTTTCTCGCTCTTTATCCGTTGTCTGCCAAGCTTTTAACGGTAAGCACATCTTCTCTTGAAATACGAGAGTTTGAATTGGGTTTTCTTCCTACGACATCCCTTTTCACAAGTATTTATGTACACTCATCTATAACGAAAAGCTTCGCAGCGCGTGAGTAGTTTCATTTTCCCATCTCGTCTATATGCCTATAGCGTAATAACACTCTATATTTTTTTCCTTATTATCTTATTTCCTTTTATATTTAAGCGCGCGCAGGCGCTCTCTCGCTCTTTCAAATTTATAAAATTCGTAGAATTCGAGAAATCGCATTATTGGCTGTACCTCCGTTGAACATTGCATAATGCAATCGGATTAAGGTTAACCCTATGGCCGAATATTGTGTGGTAAAGGCAAGATATATCGTTCGTATACCTATATCAAAGTTTGCCAGAAGGGGTTCGTTGAATAATGGATTCTGAAGGCAAAGTAAGTATACGTATCGATGCCTTTCGCATAATTAAAAATGATCTGCCATGGTAACGTAATACCACTTCGTATACCGCTTAACCGAGGACAAAACTAATTGGCGTATCGTTCCTTTCTGTTTCAGACTTTTGATAGAAAAAAAAGCAAAAAAAGAAATTCGTTCGCAGTGGAGGGTGGCAGAAAACATCGACATGTCACACCTTTGCCCGTTAAATATCAAAATGTCAATGTCAGCGGTAAGTATCGTAAGTCGCCGTAAGAATCATCGAGATGTAAATGGTCGAGATATATAGACGAGATATATAACGTAGATAGGTTATGGAGGTGCTCGTATTTCCTCAGGTGACGTAACAAAAATCGAGGTGATGCTCGAGGAAGCACCAGACGAGGCCGTCCTTGCTGGATCTATACCCTCGGAATTGGATGCTGGGATCGAATTAAATTCAACATATCCAGGTGGTAAGCTCGTAAGAAGATCAAAAGGAACGAGATCGGTTTAAAAACATTTTCAACCTAATTTCGTCTTATATTTATCTGATAAATAATAAATGAACGAGCCAGTGATGATTACAACTAATGCGGAATCGCCCTTTGATCTTCTTTGATCGGCGACGGCTTTGCGATTAACGATTTGTTGTTAATCTTCATCAAATATCTACGACGTCCTCAGATCACTTTGGTATTCCGTAATAAGAGAGTTCTAAGAGCTATAAATCTAACGGTTTCACGTGAGATATAATACATCTCTCTATATATACATATTCACGATAACGGCGGACGTGGATTACTCGTAGAGGACATTCGGTAAATGTACCAGCACTGTTTTACAGAGACGCTCGGATGTTCCCAATAAATATGTCGATTTTCTGATTTATCGTTATCGATTATATCGTAGGACAAACCAGCAAATCGCGAACTAGTAAATCGAGAAGCAATCGTAATGGCCCCATACACCAATTGTTTCTACTACTTCAATGATTATATATCGCGTTATATAAAGTTCGACGTTTTGAGATTCGACGTTTGAAAATTTTATGTTATCGTTATTGATTTCGGAAAGTGCAACAAACGGTGCTTGCATTATACGACGGTAAGAGCGAGATACAGATACGTAACCACGTTAGTTACTTTCGGCGCTGTTACTCGGTGTCGTATTTCTCGGTTTTCACTCGCACGAAAGTTGTTATCGTATCGCGGGCTTCGAACGTTCTTCAAACGATGGCCACGGTCAACAAATGGGGAAAACCATTTTGCTTTCGACAAAAGCGCGCACCGCATGGACTTAATAAATAACATTGATCTGTCAATTGGCTCCTTCATTTTCTTTTTAATGATTATTAACGATAAGAAAGCGACCGATATAAAAGCATTCGATTTTTTTCTTTCCCCCTTTATAATCGTTCTTTCAGGAGTACCAGAAGCGGGTGCGGTCGTGGTCAGAGCCGAGGAAGCTCTGATCGTCGTCCTAGTTCTCGTCCTTTGGGTCGCAGCGATAGCGTTATTTTTTAATCGATGGGGAAAGATCAGAATGTTGGAGCCCTATCAGCCAAAGTTTCAGCAACAACACAGGCAAAGCTGCACTATGGTCGACATGAACGCGCTTACGGTTAGAACTCCATTGATCAGTTTCTCTTGTAATCAGTTTCTTCCTGACTTTTCTTTCTTCGAGCTTCCTTAGTTTAGTTCAGCATATCTCCCTTTTATCCCTTACCTTAGAAAAAATATTAAGTAGGAAGTAGCCGTCGTTTCGTCGGTGCTAATTAAATTGGTTTACTTGTATATTTTCGTTCGTAATCTATCTAAGTCTCCTAATCTATAAAGTCTCCAAGGAAAGGATTAGAGTCGTAAGACGTTAGGAGAACTTTTAGGTCGATTAATTTCTCTTAAGATCATTAAACCGTGTCTACGCTCGAGTTTAGTAAATTTCTCTTTGAGTAAGTTTGCGTTCAATTTGATCGTTGACGACGGCGTGCTTCAAACCGGATTACCGGTATGTCGTGCAGGGCTCTACTAGGACGACCCTTTGTGCGCGACGTGTCCGGTCAAGTCAACGGAATTAAAATGAAATCGTACGCGTTGTCGCCATTCGTATGTGTCGCAAAATAGGAATTTTCTGCCAAATAGCAATTCTATCAAAGCGAGAGATCGTTAGACGTTCGTCTGCAGTATCTCTCACCTCTTACGCACAACGTACGTACCGAGAGAGAGCATCGCATACCTACATTACGACCTCATTAGAATCCTCCTTCTTCTCACATTTTTCTCAACCAAATTCATTTATTTATCGAATTATGAAGATTATGAGGATAATCCATCGAAAGTTAAGATTACGGTACTTTTCTTTAATAAAGAAATAAAGATAATGAGAAAATAAATTTAATTGGTACCATCGGGGATAACTAAAAAAAAAGAAATGCGACCACGAGATGAAATGGGAAACGCAAAAGAAGACGTTAGAATTTTTCTTTAAGTTTTCTCGAAATGTCGAGAAACAAATTCTCCGGAAGGCGAGATCGCTTCTGTTACGATCTTATAACGTAAACTCGACGGCAACGTCGTTCATCATTCATATATTTATATGGGTATCTATTCGTATCTATAGTTATCTATGGACGTATCTATATGGTATTTGCATACGTAGGTAAGCAGAATATCGATGTTGAAGTGCCACGATGGTAAATTGAGAAACGTCGAGTGGTATCGAGTAAAATATTTCTCTTGATTTATCTCATCGAGAGAGAGAGAGAGAGAGAGAGAGAGAGAGAGAGAGAGCGCCTGTTAACATTTTCAATCGTGATCACAAAAACGTAGATACGACGAAAGCTTTCGATCGATCGAAAGCAGAGATTGTGGGTTATAGTTATTTGGTAGAAGATTATACGTTGTAAACATAGACTCGCAGTAGGAGCAGGGAAGACGCGCAATCCGGATGCGGAAAGACTAATGAAACGTATTGAAAGTAGCTACGAATTTTCAAGCAACGAATAAGCAATTACGTAAGTAAAGAAACGATACTTCTTGCATTTTTTTTTTCCCCAATATTACTTTCAATGTGGATTATCGTTCGTTCGAAACAATTTGATTGTACCTATCGGATGCACCGACGTTTCGGTCCTCATCGAAACGTTTTGACGGTAAAGAGATCTCAGAATCGACGTACGCTTCGAATAGCTCCCGGCATTCGCGGTGCGTACGAAAATACTCATCCAACTAGGAGTGCAACGTCCCCAGTTTGTTCCCTCACTTTGCCGTCTCCGAATATTTATAGTCGATCGAGAAGAAGAGAAATTGTCCTTCCGGGATATATACGGGGGCCTTTACATAGGATACGAAAGAAGAAATATTTTTAGAGAAAAATTCTACTACGATATGGACGAGCTTTAAGAGTGGAACATTTTTAAAACTTGTAATCCACGATTCGTTGAAGCTAGCTCTCGTTAGAAGCCATGGCTCCTGGGCATATTTCATAATGGGATCACCGAAAATAAAAGTCAACGAAGGCGCATTTCCAACTATGACGCTTACATAGTTGTAACACTTTTTACAAGGCACCAAAAATATCTGCATAAGAAGTTTCTTTTCCGGTGGCAACGCGATAATATGGTAACAGTGCGGAGCTTCTCTCGTAGTCACTTTGAAATAAATTTTGACCATTTCTCGAAATTACACACTCGCACTTTTATTGCAGATTTCGTGAGAAAAACGACGTGAGGAGAAATCGTAGTTAGCGTATGGATGCTAATGGAGCGCGATATATTCTCCGACGATAACGCATAAATAAGTCATAAACCGCGTTAACCGTTGCCAGCCAAAATTAGCACGTCGTCTCTGATTTTATCGTCAATTTTCATATTTTTCTTCTTCGTAGATAATTGATTGCATTAAGTGCGTGAGTCGATAACCGATGCTTAAGTAAATTATTAGAAAATTCAATTGGCGGAGGACGACGGAAAGGGCAATGATGAGAACCAAGGAAAATGCCACGCAAAATCGAAACGCGTCGCTTGTCGCGGTGTCGGACGGAACGGAGATGAGCGAAACGAAGGGGAAAGAGAGAGAGAGAGAGAAGCACTCAGAGAGAAGACCGATTTGATAAATGATCCAACAAACGCGTCTCTTATCGTCGTCGAATGTTTTCCGATAATGAGGATCGCTCAAATTAACCGGCCTTCTTAACTTGCAAAGCCCGGCTTCGAATTGAAAAACCTCAACGGATTTCGTTCGGAGTGGGTAAGATAAAGGCGAATTATTCGATCGAATTATCATCGTCGATGCCCAAGAAGAAGAAAATTTTTCGGAAATTGAAGATTTTAATGAATTCTCTTCAAGAACAGAGAGAGAGAGAGAGAGAGAGAGAGACGAATAAAGTCTATCGAACGTTAAATATCGTTTCGCTGAATTAGAAAATAATCGAATTATTTCGTTCGGAAAACAGTTTGGAGCTAGCCTCCTCGAGGACTCGTAAAGTTTACGTTTAGAAATTGAAAAGAAATTGAAGAGCGTTTATCTTCAATTTTATTATCCGTATCATCTACTTGTTAGATCCGATCGATCTATGCTCTAGGCACATTCCCAGCCGACTAGATTAAAATAAAAAGAAAAATATGTAACGACGCTAATAATCCTGCTATCTCAAGCACGTTACTCTCGTTTGCATAATCTATGGAAATGGCGAGCTATCATCGCGGTATATCGAGGAGAAAAACGACGGACGTGCTTGAAGAAAAAGAAAAAAAAAAAAAAAACAAGAAACAAATTTCAAAGAATACTAGTTAATGAGATTCGATCGAGAGTAACGTTTGACATTAAAGGAAAATTAATCTTATGTCAGCAATGGGAACTTTTTTGGTTGGTTTTGGCTATAGTAGATTTCACATTATTCGTCATTCTTAAACTTTGCCACGATTTTTGTTTCTTTTCTTTCATCGTTTTCCTACTTTATACAAGCTCCTCGCCAAAATGCTTTATCGGGGGAAAATTATTTATTGGAAGAGAGACAAATAGGTGGAACTTTTAGCAAAACTTTCTCATATTCCAACATTTTCCACATTATAATGCATTAGACGTAAAAAAAACGTGGTAAAACTGCAGCGAAAGCGCGTGGGCCGAGATAATTGGACCGACATAGAGAGTGTAGAAAAAGTGGTAGAAAAAGTGATAGGAAAAGAACGGGGGCGGCGGCGGTTGGAAGGAGAAAAATGTGATTATATCGAGGGATAGGGATAGTCCGAAATGAACTCGAAACTTTTTTTCGTCTTGCTTGCAGCACCGTACTTACTCGAAATTTAACATCCACCGGCAGGATCACCCGGTGCACCAGAGTAGCTGCGTACCCAGCACCACCACCGCCGAGTGCTGGAGACCGAGACAGAACAGCGTCTTCGTCGGTTCGAGCAGCGCGTCCCTTGTCGCGGTCAATCAGGAAACACCGAGACGCGCCAAGAGCGCGTTCGATCTGCAGTCTCTCGTTTTGGCGGAGTGTACCGTGAGGAAAAATACCATAGAGGACGATCGCCCGGAGAACGAAGAACCGGGGGGAACGGTGAGGAGTTCGAAGGAACTAGCGATGGCATTAACGACGACAGCCGGATCCCAGTTTACGGAATCATCGAAAGTGGGTCAACGTAGGACGAGCGTTTGTAAGTTGTTGGACAAGCCGTTGCAGCAACGCGAGAGGGGTATGAGCGTGTGTCAGGTCGATCGCGGGGATTATCAGATTCTTCAAAGCAGAACGTCCCAGAGAGATCGAGGTATGAGTATCTGTTACTTCGATAGAACGGACGTTTTGGCGAGACCTCTTCAGAGGGATCACCGGGGCTCCTCGAGTATTTGCCACTTCGACAGAATGGACGTGTTTGCGAGACCACCTTATCCACGTGATCGCGGTAGCAGCGTTTGTCAATTCGACAGAATGGACGTTTTGGCACGGCCGACTTCCTCCTATCTCGGTAAGTCCCTCCTAAGAGAGAGACGCGTAAGCGTTTGCAACTTTCTCGAGAAGAACGAGGAGCCTGTGCTCCGAGCTACAGCTAACGTTCCTGCTAACGTCTCGCAAAGCTTCCAATGGTACGGGCGTTCCAGCGTCGACAGCAACGTCGACAAAATCGAGACTATTCTTCGATCGACTCCTTCCCCTTCTCCCGTCTCGAAGAAGAACGCTCGAGATAACAAGGACGTTTCCCCTTTGATTATCGAACATCAAGGGGGGGATCACCTACCGTCCGATCGTCGGGATGACGAAGAGAACGGCATTGCGTATTATTTCGATCGACCGTCCTGCAGCAAAACGCCGGACGTTGTGCTCGGTTATAAAGCGACTTGCGTTTGAAGGTACGCACCGTACTAGTCCTAGTCATTCTCCTTCGTATCCTCGAAGTTTCCTCGAAGAATTCTTCGAAGCAGGCAACATGGAACGAATTAAAAACTAATTCATTAGAAATTTTGAATCGAACGAAATCTCGAGCGATCGAGTAACCTGTTAACGAAACGCGCGTCGGAATCGCTTTAATTACGCCGTTTTATTAATTCGTCTATCGTCTGTGCGCACTGGCCCGCAAATATATCTATACCTCGTATAGATGGCCCGATAACGAGAAATGAAAAAAGATCGCTTTGAATGCGCGTTCCTAGGGGGACACAATGAAAAATACGATACCTTAACATTATTTCTATTCTTCGGTCATATCTTATCTCATGGTACGCGCGCAACATTTGAACGAATATTTTTTGCGAGCCACTGCGTAGACATTCGTTGTACATAAGATGGAGCATTTAAATAGGGTGGGGGTTGGGGGACCCGAGATATAGTGGTTAGAAAAAAGATATGAACTTTGAAGAAAACGAGGTTATCTACTTCTACTATATATCAATTATATTAAGTAACTACCATTTGAATGTTCCTATTTAAATGTCTACCATCCATAGATACACGTAGATGTAATTCCGATGTTAACAAAGTCCAGCTTGGGAGTAGTCTCATTGTCGATCTATTTTCATATGAACACGATTGAGTCCGCTCCGATTCGTTACGCGTATCGGTTAACGCGTTCTATTCATCGAAACTCAGTTTGTATTTCCTCATGAACGGTGTAATTTAATCGAGAGTAAGCTTCGTTAAATAAACGTTGTGTATACAAGGAGCAATCTAAAAAGATAGAAAAGAAGTTACACGGTCAAGAGCTTCTCGTTGGACCAATCATGAATCCTTTTCGTACGTGAACGAGAGGATGTAACCAAACGAAACGTGATAAATTACATGTATTACATTACAATGAAAACAGATGTCAAATATTTTTTATTAAAAATCTCTTTTTAAAAGTACAATAATAGCTTAGCCAAGAGGAAAGGGAAACGTTGTCATTGGCTCGTAAAGCTTTATCAACCGTTCGATCGATCTCTTTCTTAACAAGACCGGATAATGTTCTATTTCAAAATAGTACGAAATATTTATGTCTTTCTAAAGGTTTTAAACGGAGACTCGATCCATATTTTCATCGAGTGCGTTATCAAAACCAACGAGAGAATGTTATGTCGTTCGTTACAATGCCAAAAGTGAAAGATTACAAAGTTATCGAAAGCATATGCAATATTTAAGCTCAATATTCGAAACGACATTAATTACGTTTACTTCGAAAGGCGGATCTCTGACGTTATTCGAAAAACGTAAATAAAAGGGAATCAAAATGTACATTTCGACAAGGAAAGAAAAGAAAAGATGGGAGAAAAAAAAGAAAAAAAGAGAAAAGAAAAAAAAAAAGAAGCAAAAATGGCTCGTGCCCTTATCTACTTTTTGATATGACTTTGTTAGGCATAAATCGAGAATGCGAGTTTTTCGCTTGATCGTTAAAAATTGGACAAATTACGATTAAACGTGCCATCCATTCAGTCGTCGACGTCGTCGGTATTGTCGATTGAATTTTTCCAACGAGCAAATGATCGAAGCTTTAAGTAGCGATCGATCGACTCTTCCTCTTTATCTCGTAACTCTTATTTTCTTTTCCTCCAAATGGACGTAAATATAGCTAGAGAGTTTAGTCCTCCGACCATATTTTATCTCTTTCCCACGGCGAGTCTTCTCTTTCTCGCACTAGTAAATTCATAGAAATTGCTCTATTCTTCGAAGCTGACTTTATCGTTGAATAGACGGATTTTCTCTATCTCTCTCTGAAATTGTCCACAGATAAAAATATTTAAATGTTAACAAACGTTCGATAATAAGTCCCTTCGTTTAAGGGATCCTCTTTCGAAAATAATGTAGTAGAAATTTCATTCGAGTGTAATAACGAATATCTATTTTAAAAGAAATTCTTCCGTCGCCAAATTAAATATAACACGACGATGGGAAGAAATAGATTTATCGAGTCTGGTAAGCATTGCTCAACCTGTACTCAGGGAATATCTTGGAATAATTAATGCCAATCGTCAAATAATAGAAAAACTATTCCAAATACTGGATCTTTTATTTTCCCTGGCTTGCCTTTCCTCGACTTGAGATAAGACCACGTAACTCGTCGATATGTCAGAAATATCTTTTCCGAATCATACGCAAATGTTGGTTGTAGGTATAAAAAGATGAGAAACTAAGGTATGTACCTATCTATGTATATCTATCTATCCGATGTCGCACATTTGTTGATTATATATTTATTCCCTCGAAGAAACAATAGTCGAAGAAACAATAAATTATCGTTTTGTTACGTGTACAAATATGTATATGTATTATACAACAACGTATGAATACTTATACACCTCGCTTGTGTTTCCGATGAGAAGATAATGGAATAATTGGAATATAAATAATATGCGCGTTTTCGAAATATTATTAATACCTTTGCGAGGAATTTCTATAAACGATTAATTCAAAGTTTTACCAATCGCATTAATTCTCGTTGTTTTATAAAATAATAAAACATACTGACGAGAATATTATGAGATCGAGTATTTTTGAAGGATAACATGATCGAGCTTGTAAAGGATGAATTGTTCTCTTCTCACAAAGTATTATTAAAAGAATACAGGAGAAATGAAATATACACCGCTTCGGCCATATCGCGTAATCAGTTTTAAACCGCGTTATATACAAGTATGATTAATTTATACGTTTGGCGGTAAGGTTCTCATTTAAACTTCCGTATCTGTTCATGATCGTATAATGAACTTTCAAATATTTCAAATAATATATAAATATTTCGTTTAACTTTACGTCTCGTCTATGTAAGAATAATGTATGAAAAAAGTACTCCGAATATACGCATACGAGGAAGGATCATTTGAGATAAGTAATATTTTCTGACCAAAAATATATCTCCATTCGGTTAAAGAAATTTTATCGCTATAAATATAGTTATAAATTAGTGTCGCTTTAATATCGCGCGACAAACGGACCTTTTATATAGACTTAGTCGAATTAGCTGAACTATCGTCAGACCAAAGAGAGAATTTTTCTCATAATATTGCGCGCGTTTAAAATTAAATAGATAATAATGCTTCGTTATTTTATTTCGAAACGAAATGAGACAATTATACCAGTTATACTACAAGTAACTCTTCGTTCAACGACGACTGATAGAAAGCAAGATGATAAAACAGTTTTTAAGATTACAAGGAGACGCGGAGATAATTACAATTATATAAATCTATTTAGCCTTAAGCTATTACAATTAGTTTCTCCTTAAATTTTTTTTCTTCCCACGTCAACCGTATGGAAATAGAAATGGGCGTGCCTATTGCTTAATATAATTTGCTTAATAAAAGAAGATAAATTAAAACGATGGAGAATCAATCATGGAGAATCTTGTTAATTATTTGTTAATATACCTATTTTGTTAAGCTATGCCATATTGAGGATCGAGTGTCGAAGAGGTAACACGGAATGTCGCCTTCCGACGGTATAAAAAAAACTCTTGGACATTTCTCTAATATCACTTGTATAAAGTTCTCCTATAAATAAATTCAAATTTGTGAATATAAAATAACAAAATAACATTTTCAATCGTCGTTACCTATGAAAATATTTCAGATATAATTCGAATAGCGAGATGCGTTCTTGACGGAAGGTAAGAATTTCTTTGACAATTAGAAAATAAATAATCGATAGTAAGGAATAGAGAGAATTTGGAGGAGCTTTTTCCTGGACGTGTATTGGAAATACGGGAAGAATAAGAGAGAAAGTAAAAGCACGGCAAGATCGAGGGACCTAACGTTGTGCTTACCGCTAAAGGACTCTAATATCCCACAAGGTTAGTATTACCACGATACCACTTAAGAGTCTCCACTTTCCTTACCGTTCGTTCTATCTCTCGGATAAGCTCGAAACCGAGGAGGAATGAAACCTGTTTCATTCTTACGTGTTAGCCTTGAATATAGAGAAATGAGAATGGGAGGATGGAGGCGGTCCGTGCGAATTCGAGATAACTTTATACCTTTTATTCTATTGCATTTGGAGCATGAATGAAAACTTTTCTTCTCTTTCCCTCGTCCATGCGCATTCTATATAGGATAAAAATGATAGCTACAGCGAGAGGATTTTCCGGCCACATGCAATTCCGAGATTAATCCGTCGGCGTATCCTGCGGCTCGATCTATCAGGGGTGTTTTTCCGGAAAAACAAGGTACTTTTCGAAAACGCTTTCGATCGTTTAATCGAAATCTCGAACGATAAGAACAACTATTCGAGACAATTCGACGTCTCTCTCTCTCTCTCTCTCTCTCTCTCTCTCTCTCTCTCTCTCTCTCTCTCTCTGAGAGAACACGATTCACTCGATAAGAACTCGTTCAGAGTTCCTTGCTCCGTGGCATTCTACTCGACGCACGTAGAGAAAATTGAGAAAATTGAGCCAATTTACTTGAACCAGGGTAACCAAGCTTTTTCACATTCCGTAATATCACGGAAAGGATAAATGATAACGACGAGAGTGGTAAAAAAAGGTAAAAGAGCTAAAGAATTGAAGCATACTTATATATCTTTTTTATTTGGCAAAAGAGATTGGATCGTAAACTTATTTCGCATACCTATTGAGGATATTATGGAATAATGTCAGCAATACGCTTAGACGTGACAACGGGTTTAAGCCGAGGCATATCGAGCCAAACATTTCGATTTTCTAATAATTCTAATCGAATTATGTTTCATTATCACTTTATGATATACGAGATGGGATTCTGTTAGACCGAGACTGTAGAAATTTTCTTGGAGGATTCACGATAAACTAACGATAAACGTGAGACTTACGATTATAATTTAGCCGATAAATGATATAAATAAAGTGGTCGTGCAAGTGAAGGACTCGATTTATAAGGTCTTAATTTTGATAGTAAATTATTACAATTTCTGCGAATGAAATGTTATGGAGAGAGATAGCACCGATAAAGTGATCTCCCTTTAAAGACCATTAAGTACAATTCTATTCAAGGTCACAAAGAGCATTATCCTTGACACAGTTTTGTATTTCAACTAGCAGGGAGGTTAAAGACACTGCCAGTCATTATCCGATCGTCTTCGAGCACATAAATCTCTATTAGAAAGCAAAGTTTTATTTGGAAAAAAAAAGAAAAAGAAAAAAATATATACCTATTAGCTGTACTAATCTTTTCTTAAAGAGAATATATATATAGAACATATTTTTGGCACGAAGGGTAGAAAACTGTAAGAAAACGGTTAGGTGGAGTATACCGAAAAAGATTTTTCTTCGTGCACGTTGGCCGACACTATCGTAACGTTGAAAAATTCTTCACAATGTTTTTCGTCGGATTCGAAGATACTCGCGAGAAAATGTCACGGAGGAGAGAGAAAAAACAGCGGAACGGAAGGAGGAGAAGAGAATGACGTGCGAAAGAGGAATTCGAAGGGAAGGTAGAAAAAGATAAGGAAGAGAGAAGAAAATCCACCTTTCGATCTATCGTCTCGAGAGACCTCACGAGTATAATATTTTTTTATCTCTCACCTTTGGACTTAAGTTGATAAAATAAGGAAAAGAGGTCGATGAGATACTTGCAATGTTTGTGCCGTATATTTATCTGCAATTCATCCTCGATTAGATCACATTTATTAAACTTTATCGATTAGGAATAATTAATCGTTCGAAGGAGCGAGGATATAAGAGCAACGTATGTGGTACATATGTAGAAACATTGATCGTTTGAATTTCTCAGGCGCGCTGCGACCGACATGGTTTTATTATAATAAATACCGCGGAGTGATGCAACGCAAAGAGAATTTTAAAAAGCAACAGCGTGCAATAAAAATCCGCCATTGGGAACGATTTCTCCATTTAATAAATACTCACCGAATTTGATTATTTCCAATCCACTCATTTTAATCGCTAACTCGATAAATACAATTTCAATATGTAGCCGTAAGCATAATTTTTTCCTCTCGAACGATCCGTATATAACCGGGGAAGATATCGATTAACGAGAGACGAGGGAGGGAGATGTATCGACGAGAGGTAATTGAGATAAACGCAGGAGTAATGTTATAACAGGTTTGGATCACAAATCGAAATTATCTTCGATTCGTGATCCAATGTTTCTACGAGCGTTAGCATTAGGTTCCTTCTTAAAGCATACATAAAGTGTTAGCTTTGTGACAAATGTATTTGTTCCCGGATGATCCTCGTTAAACATTCGATTTACTCGTGCGCGTTACTAATTACGCCAATTCGAGCGAATTCGTGATAAAAGGCGCATGATATCGATAATCGAGCTAGAACGATAA